ATTTTTCCAGTACTTCTTTTCTTGGTTCTGTGCAACTGTCTTAGGACACAGGGAAAGTGAGGGAGGTATTTAGGGAAGGCCACTAAAATAAGTCTATTTTTCCACACGATGGCTGCTAGCGCCACAACGCATGTCAGCTTTTTTTGAGGAATATGGTAACACCATTCTCCTCAGGCTCATTCATTCTATTTTCATTCACGCATTCTCTCACTGATGTGTAAAAATCCCTCATTATTTTTTTTTAGTATGTGCAATGAGACTTTTAAAAAAGTTGGTTAATTATTACCTTGCAATTAGGGTGGAAAGCCCACATGGACTTACAGAATCATCCCTCATTATTTCTTTTTTTTTTAGTATGTGCAATGAGACTTTTAAAAAAGTTGGTTAATTATTACCTTGCAATTAGGGTGGAAAGCCCACATGGACTTACAGAATCATAGAATCATGAAGTGTGAAAGGGGACAAGACAAACCCCTGAGCCTAGGCAGGAAAAGAGGCACATCCCTGAGAGCAGCACCACGGGGACAACTACTAGGCTTATTTTATAAGACCTGCTGGCTTAACCTGGCTGTTAGAAACACAGCCCTGGTGTACAGCCCTGCAGACAGTAGGAAGAAAGGTACATCCACTACTGGAGTGTAGGGGAGAGCAGCACCACGGGGACAACTACTAGGCTTATTTTATAAGACCTGCTGGCTTAACCTGGCTGTTAGAAACACAGCCCTGGTGTACAGCCCTGCAGACAGGACTGTATCTACCGATCATGAGCAATCACAGGGGCACCACTCTATCTTTCAGCTGGGAGGTGATCAGTAACTTTGGTACGAATCAGGACAGCTACTGGCCCACCGATACCATAATCCCCCACCTCCTCTCAAGCAATACCTCTCTACAAAAAATACACCTGCTCTTTTGGCCCCCTCCTATTTGTGCAGAGTGGAGATGTTACTTCTGCACTGGTGACCAATTGCCTCACCTCTTATTTTTTAGAATCATAGAATGGTCTAGGTTGGAAGAGACCCTTGGGATCATCGAGTCCAACCATCTCCCCTACTCTACAAAGTCCTCCCCTACACCATGTCCCTCAGCACTGCATCTAAATGGCCCTTAAACACATCCAGGGACGGTGACTCCACCCCCTCCCTGGGCAGCCCATTCCAATGCCCGACCACTCTTTTGGTGAAAAATTCTTTCCTAATGTTCAGTCTAAACCTACCCTGTTGGAGCTTGAAGCCGTTCCCTCTCGTTCTATTGTTAATTACCTGTGAGAAGAGACCAGCACCAACCTCTCTACTGTGTCCTTTCACGAAGTTGTAGAGAGTGATGAGGTCTCCCCTCAGCCTCCTCTTCCTCACACTAAACAGTCCCAACTCCCTCAGCCGCTCCTCATACGATTTATTCTCCAGCCCCCTCACCAGCTTCGTTGCCCTCCTCTGCACTCGCTCCAGCACCTCCAGATCTCTCTTGGATTGAGGTGCCCAAAACTGGACACAATACTCCAGGTGTGGCCTCACCAGTGCTGAGTACAGGGGCACAATCACCTCCCTCTTGACTCATGGTCTCTCATTAATTAGTCTTAGTAACCCATGTGCCTTATAGAACTGTGTTCTGGGGTTGCTCATTTTCACCCTGTGACGCAACAACCCAGTAGTTTTCCAGTCTGCTGGCACCATCCTGAGCACAGCCCTGGGGAAAGCCTTGCACAACTGAATGGGCAATCTGGGGACAGAAATCAGTAAAGGAGAAAGCTAATCTTCTTGGATGATCTGATCTTTTTTAGTTGGAGTTGAGTGAGAACAAATGAACGTGTCCCCCTCTCCTAGCTGGGATCTTCACATTTGTATTCAGCAAAATAAGGAAGTATAAAAAATAATATCCAGGCCATATTCTGTTTCAGTCTCATAAAAACAGAACCATAACAAACAGAACCATAACAAACAGAAATGACAGTTGCCTGTCCTCACGGCTTCAATTCGGGTTTCAAATCTTGTGGGCTACGTGATACGTTGCACCTCCAATTAGGATTGTTACAGTCTGTGATTTGAATTTATAAAGTCCAAATTTTAGAGAATTAGAAAAAAACATTCAGATAGCTAGTGTTAATGGGGCATTGAACTTCCATTTTGTCATTGATATACATAAAACCATTACTTCTATTCCAACAAAAGCTGAAGTTTTTCCTTTAAATTGTGAATTACAGTAATCATTTTACACACAGGGACATGAAAATGTGTCACTGAAACCTTGAAAACCTTCCTTGTTATCCAATTAAGACAAGGTTCCGGCCATATTTACCAAACAGGAATGGATGTGACAGTGATGCTAATTTATTGAAAATTGCTGTAAAAATATAGGAAGATTTTAACAAAAGACTCAAAGATAAGTTGCATTTTTCTGTTAGTGGGAAGCATATAATTTGGGGGTTTGCTTTTTGCTTTGTTTTTGGGGTTTTACTGTTCGTCAAACTACATCAAGTTTTAGCTGTTTAGAATGGAAAAGATTTTTTTCATCATGCTGAAGTTGCTATTGTGGCTTATTTACTAAAACAAGTTAAATATTTATGTAAACATTTCAGTCAAAACAAAAAGATTTGTGGTAGGATATAGCTACAGTATTTATTTTTTTTTAAATGCAGCCTTAATTCTTAACTAGTTACGGGTCTCTGATGTTTGGTATTTCAATATTTTATTGATAAAGTTATGCAGTACTGTACAAAGCATAAAATCTTTATATACTCCAAGGGCAAATTACTTCCCTTCCCACTTGGGGATAATTTATTTTTAATGCTGTTCTTTAAGTTTTTAATTCTTCATGGGTTCTAGAGAAATTTTGAATTATAACATACATATTTAATAGTAATGACATTGGCTGTGGTGGAGATAATATGTACACATTAATAGTAATATATTAAAAAAAAAATCTAAGAGGACGTACACAATATAGTTATCATTTAACCCTAAACAGGCAGTAAGACATTATTTAAGGTAGTGTTTTCGTTCCGTGTGTTTTCACAGTTTAAAGGATAAAGGATTGATTTGCCACTTCAAGCAAACTTCGTTTCTTAAAATCATAAATATTTCAATTATTCCCAAGTCAAGTATTTCAATATCATTTGCTGAAAAAGAACTGTCTGTGTTCACATCATACAGCATTCATAAGCCTAAGGGCTCAAACAGGAGATACTTACCTTGTTAGCACCTGCAGGGCTGTTTCATGTTCTGCTTCCACAATACTCAGACCATACGCATAAAGAGATGGGAAGTGCCTTTCTGCCTTTAATTCCCTTCATCCCGAAGAGGCTCTATTAGAAAAATATTAACATAGAAAAACCACCGAGGACTTGTGTATTCACTCAATAGAACTCTTTCTGAAGTCTCTGAGTTTCCACTACAGAGAGCTCTTGGGTTCTGAAACCAGTTTTCAAAGAACGTTATCACGGGACCATAGAATAATTCAGGCTGGAAGGAGCCCCAGAAAATCGTCTAGTTCAGAGCATGGGCAAGTATCACTTGAAACCAGATCGCTCGGGGCATTATTACCCCAACGGGTTTGAAAACATCCAAGAACACACAGCCTCTCCAGACAATCTGTTCCACTGCTGAACTGTCCGCACCGTGAAAATGTTCCCTCACACCAAGTCTGTCTTCTTGTCTCAGTTTATGTCTGTTGTCCCTCCTCCTCCCACCACGGGGAAGTGCCTGGCTCCATCTTTCCAATGGCCTCCCTACAGGCACCAGCATACTGCTGTTCAGTTGCCTCAAAACATTACTTGGTTGCCTCATTACTTGCCACCACTCACACCCCCTTGCAGCAGATACCAGGAGGGTGTAGCCAGGGGGGGTCGGTCTCTTCTCCCAAGTCACAGGCAATAGGACAAGAGGAAATGGCCTCAAGTTGCACCAGGGGAGGTTCAGATTGGAGATTAGGAAACATTTCTTCACTGAAAGGGTGATTGCACATTGGAATGGGCTGCCCAGGGAAGTGGTTGAGGCACCATCCCTGGAGGTGTTCAAAAGACGAGTTTACATAGTGCTCAGGAATATGGTTTAGTGTTGGGGTTTTGGTTGGCTTTTAGGGTTTTTTTTGTTTGGTTTGGTTTGGTTTTTTGTTAGGGTTTTTTTGGTCAGAGTTAGGTTGATTGTTGGACTATATGATATTAAAGGTCCCTTCTGACCTAGGCAATTCTGTGATTCTATGAGATATAAACATTTAATAGAACAAAACTAGATGCTTAATAACGCTAAAGAATCAATATTTCTCCTGATACCAATATAAAATATATGAGGATTACACTCAGCCCGTTCTCTCAGCAGGGGGCCGTACACCCCCAGCAGGGGCAGCCAGTGTGGGGCCCTGCGAGCGCTGCGGCTTTGGGTGGAAGGGAAGGGCTCAAGGCTCTGGCACCTGGAGCAAGGAGTTATCTGGACCATCACCATCAAGTAAGAAAAAACTTTGCAACCAACTTTCTCATTTTTATTGAATATGACATTCATGGTATGAAATAATCCTGTTGGCCAGCTTGGGTCAAGTGCCCAAGTCTTGTTCCTCATCCCTGCACCTGGCCATCTCGAAAGCACTGAGACCTTGAAACCCACACAGCATAGCTGGCTATAAAGCAAAAATTTTCACAAATCCAGGCGCAAGAGTCTTCTAGAAGTGCAGTTTTGCCAAGCATGAGGAGAGAAACTAGCTGCCCTGTGTCGCTCAAAGGTATATCTCTCTCCAAACTCCCTCCTTTCCCTCCCTCTCCCGTCAAGGAGGAGACCCCAGGGGCCCAGCGCGGCCCTGTCTTCGCCCCCCGTCCCCGGGAAGGGGAAGGGGAGCGGGGAGGGGAGGCCACCCAGCCGGCCCCTCGCAGCGGCTCCTGCTCCGCCGCCTCCCACCCCTCGGTAGCCGCCAGCCGCTGGCTGAAGCGGACGCTTGCCCCGGCACAGGCCGCGTCCCCATGGTGACGCGACGCTCGCCCCCTTAAAAGTCCCCGCCCGGCGGGGGCGGTCACGCCGGTGCTGACGGGAACCAAGATGGCGGCGGCCGCCTCCGACCTGCTGACGGGATGGTGCCTCTTCGGCTTGGCGCTGCTGGTGAGCGGCGGCTGCCCCGGGCGCACGCCCCTTCCCTCCGCTGGGGTCGGCGGTACCCCCGCCTTCCCCTCCGCTCGCCCCGGCCGCCGAGCCTTTCTGGGCCCCTCGCTGTGCCGCCTCGCTCGGCCTGTGCTTCCTCAGCCCGCCCGGCTCGGCCGCCCTCGGTGCGCGGGCAGGGCTGGGCCATGGCGGCGGCGCAGGGCCCGGAGCTGAGGCCGCGGGGCTGTCCTGCCATCCAGCCTGGGCCTTCAGCCACTCTCGGCTGCGTTTGAGGCTGTTTTTCGTGTGTGAGTGCTGCTGCTCCTGTTGTTGCTGCTGCTCAAACTGTTGTGTATAAACTAGAGAGTGGGAGGAGCGAAGTGTGTGTGGTGAGTGTGCCCCTGGTGCTCGGGCTGAGGGAGTTTGTGTGTTGATGCTGTGCCGGCCCCCCACATCAGGATACAGGGCCTCAAATACCTGCCTTCCGACATCCTTATTGCACAACCCGTAATTGTCTTTCCCTGTGTATTTCAGGCTATCCTAGTTTTCTGCTGGGTTTATGTGCGAAAGTATCAGAGCCGGCGGGAAAGTGAGGTGATTTCTACCATCACAGCCATCTTCGCCTTGGCGGTCGCTCTTATCTCATCAGCGCTGCTTCCAGTGGACATCTTCTTGGTTTCGTATATGAAAAATCCCAACGGCACGTTTAAGGTATGGTCTTTTAAAAACATGGATTGCCTCATCAGAAGAAGCACTTGTGTTGAAACAGGATGTTTGCTATTGGGTTGTCGGAAGTGTTTAAAACCAATGGTGACATCTCTTCTAGTGCCTGAGTTTGAGTAGTGTGAATACAACACTGACATCAGCTTGTTATTTGAGCTGGATTTCAATTTTCATTTCTATTACATATTTTTAAGTTATTACTTCTACTACTTATTTTCAACATTCTACTCATTTCCCAAATGCTCCTTTCTCCTGTTGTGCAAAGAGCAGTGCATGTGCCATTCTGAAGATATAAATAAATCTCTTAAATGTTGCTTTTTAGTACATTGTTATGGGGAGTTTGTTGCCTCTTGGTTCAAAACCAGCCCATTTACAGTTTGAGATTATTTTGATTCTCTTTTTCATCAGCGTTCTTTTATTCTGTTACTGAGACATTAAGACTTATAAAGATTTACGATGTTAATCTATGTATAATGTAAAGCCCGAGTTAATAAGCACTTTTTTAAAGAGAGAAAATAGGGAAAACCGTTGGGCGAAGGGAATACAGTAGTAGCTCTTCTTGGCTGATACTGCCTTAAACTGAACTACTGTTTTTATACTCTTTATGTAAAACTGTAGGGGCTTGCTGTGCAGAATGAGTTTTTAATGAGGTGAGTACTCACTGTAGTCTGCTCTAAGCGTTGCTGTAAGTAAGAGTTCTTAGCAGTGCTTAGAGCATTGGCCTTGAAGGGAGTGACCCGTTGTCTTGGTGATAACACTGCCATTAAAGCTAGATCAAACTGGAGCATATTAGTAATTTGAATAGTTTGGTTGGGAGCCTGTCTGGATCAATAGTAAAAGAGATGATTCTGGAACAAATGAGAGTGGGCAGATGACAACACACTGAGCTCAGACTGTATTCCCTTTCAGCCTTACTTTCAAGGGACAACCTAGGTCCTGCCAGATCCTGGATAATGGTTCAAAACTAGCTTGCTGCCAGTACAGTGCCTTTTGGCTGGTGCTCACAGAATTGCAAGTCATAAGAAGCCTAAAGAATTGAGCTGTGACATGATTTTTGTCCTGTTTATTGCTCAGTGGTAATACAGAATAAATTAAACTATTCTTCAATGTTGCTGTTAAAAGTTTGTCTTCAGACCTTGTTTGTTCAAAATTAAAATGGATGGAAGAGACCTTTCATGTGTCACGGTACCAGCAGTTCAATGACGATAACACTAAGTATTAAGAAATGCATTGAGGCTGACTAGCCAGAGAAATAACAATGATGTAACTGGGCCCAGCTGAAAGATGTGCATCTGCTGAGGACCAAGCAGAATTTCCTGTTGCAAAGGAGACCTATTTTGTTAATGTATGCATTCCCTGATTTGAGAAATAAACCTGTGAGGAGAACAGGAGGCCACATGTAGTCACTACAGTCCTATTTAAGGAAGTGTAATTAACAGAAGGATAACTGCTGTACTTAAAACACTTTTTCTTGATCTAGATTTCTTTCTTAATGGCCACATGCTGGGCTATGATGGGCTGGGTAGATTCTGTTTAAAAATTGTAACTGAAAGCAAGATTTCTTGCTTGTGGTAAAGCTTTTATTTCTCGAAGTACCTTTGCCTATGCTTCTGAGTCTTTTGGTCCTGTCTAGTTCCTCATGTTTGTAGATGCTGCTGATGGCCTACTGAAATAAATGTGCTCTGTGCTGCCATGCAGGAGAGCTCTTCCTTCTCTTCTAAGGCTCATCTGAAGGAGTTTCTAGCTTTGCAGCAATGACATGAGATTTTTACGGTTGATCCAACATAAGTGTTGAAGTTGTGAAAAATACATCCCGTTGAATCTGATCTGTTTGATCTGAAAGCTTGTTGATTTATAACAGCTACTTAAAACCAGAAAACCTCACCCTAGCTTATAGACCTAAGATTGCTGCTGGAATCTGAGACCTCTGGGTCTGACCTACAAGGCGCATAAATATTTAAACCCTAGCTGATGCTGCCTTGCAGAAGGAAGCCAGCTTGAAACAAGGGCATTATCATCACCATGCTGTTTTTTTTTTTTTTTTTTTTTCAAAGCATAAAATCTTTATATACTCCAAGGGCAAATTACTTCCCTTCCCACTTGGGGATAATTTATTTTTAATGCTGTTCTTTAAGTTTTTAATTCTTCATGGGTTCTAGAGAAATTTTGAATTATAACATACATATTTAATAGTAATGACATTGGCTGTGGTGGAGATAATATGTACACATTAATAGTAATATATTAAAAAAAAAATCTAAGAGGACGTACACAATATAGTTATCATTTAACCCTAAACAGGCAGTAAGACATTATTTAAGGTAGTGTTTTCGTTCCGTGTGTTTTCACAGTTTAAAGGATAAAGGATTGATTTGCCACTTCAAGCAAACTTCGTTTCTTAAAATCATAAATATTTCAATTATTCCCAAGTCAAGTATTTCAATATCATTTGCTGAAAAAGAACTGTCTGTGTTCACATCATACAGCATTCATAAGCCTAAGGGCTCAAACAGGAGATACTTACCTTGTTAGCACCTGCAGGGCTGTTTCATGTTCTGCTTCCACAATACTCAGACCATACGCATAAAGAGATGGGAAGTGCCTTTCTGCCTTTAATTCCCTTCATCCCGAAGAGGCTCTATTAGAAAAATATTAACATAGAAAAACCACCGAGGACTTGTGTATTCACTCAATAGAACTCTTTCTGAAGTCTCTGAGTTTCCACTACAGAGAGCTCTTGGGTTCTGAAACCAGTTTTCAAAGAACGTTATCACGGGACCATAGAATAATTCAGGCTGGAAGGAGCCCCAGAAAATCGTCTAGTTCAGAGCATGGGCAAGTATCACTTGAAACCAGATCGCTCGGGGCATTATTACCCCAACGGGTTTGAAAACATCCAAGAACACACAGCCTCTCCAGACAATCTGTTCCACTGCTGAACTGTCCGCACCGTGAAAATGTTCCCTCACACCAAGTCTGTCTTCTTGTCTCAGTTTATGTCTGTTGTCCCTCCTCCTCCCACCACGGGGAAGTGCCTGGCTCCATCTTTCCAATGGCCTCCCTACAGGCACCAGCATACTGCTGTTCAGTTGCCTCAAAACATTACTTGGTTGCCTCATTACTTGCCACCACTCACACCCCCTTGCAGCAGATACCAGGAGGGTGTAGCCAGGGGGGGTCGGTCTCTTCTCCCAAGTCACAGGCAATAGGACAAGAGGAAATGGCCTCAAGTTGCACCAGGGGAGGTTCAGATTGGAGATTAGGAAACATTTCTTCACTGAAAGGGTGATTGCACATTGGAATGGGCTGCCCAGGGAAGTGGTTGAGGCACCATCCCTGGAGGTGTTCAAAAGACGAGTTTACATAGTGCTCAGGAATATGGTTTAGTGTTGGGGTTTTGGTTGGCTTTTAGGGTTTTTTTTGTTTGGTTTGGTTTGGTTTTTTGTTAGGGTTTTTTTGGTCAGAGTTAGGTTGATTGTTGGACTATATGATATTAAAGGTCCCTTCTGACCTAGGCAATTCTGTGATTCTATGAGATATAAACATTTAATAGAACAAAACTAGATGCTTAATAACGCTAAAGAATCAATATTTCTCCTGATACCAATATAAAATATATGAGGATTACACTCAGCCCGTTCTCTCAGCAGGGGGCCGTACACCCCCAGCAGGGGCAGCCAGTGTGGGGCCCTGCGAGCGCTGCGGCTTTGGGTGGAAGGGAAGGGCTCAAGGCTCTGGCACCTGGAGCAAGGAGTTATCTGGACCATCACCATCAAGTAAGAAAAAACTTTGCAACCAACTTTCTCATTTTTATTGAATATGACATTCATGGTATGAAATAATCCTGTTGGCCAGCTTGGGTCAAGTGCCCAAGTCTTGTTCCTCATCCCTGCACCTGGCCATCTCGAAAGCACTGAGACCTTGAAACCCACACAGCATAGCTGGCTATAAAGCAAAAATTTTCACAAATCCAGGCGCAAGAGTCTTCTAGAAGTGCAGTTTTGCCAAGCATGAGGAGAGAAACTAGCTGCCCTGTGTCGCTCAAAGGTATATCTCTCTCCAAACTCCCTCCTTTCCCTCCCTCTCCCGTCAAGGAGGAGACCCCAGGGGCCCAGCGCGGCCCTGTCTTCGCCCCCCGTCCCCGGGAAGGGGAAGGGGAGCGGGGAGGGGAGGCCACCCAGCCGGCCCCTCGCAGCGGCTCCTGCTCCGCCGCCTCCCACCCCTCGGTAGCCGCCAGCCGCTGGCTGAAGCGGACGCTTGCCCCGGCACAGGCCGCGTCCCCATGGTGACGCGACGCTCGCCCCCTTAAAAGTCCCCGCCCGGCGGGGGCGGTCACGCCGGTGCTGACGGGAACCAAGATGGCGGCGGCCGCCTCCGACCTGCTGACGGGATGGTGCCTCTTCGGCTTGGCGCTGCTGGTGAGCGGCGGCTGCCCCGGGCGCACGCCCCTTCCCTCCGCTGGGGTCGGCGGTACCCCCGCCTTCCCCTCCGCTCGCCCCGGCCGCCGAGCCTTTCTGGGCCCCTCGCTGTGCCGCCTCGCTCGGCCTGTGCTTCCTCAGCCCGCCCGGCTCGGCCGCCCTCGGTGCGCGGGCAGGGCTGGGCCATGGCGGCGGCGCAGGGCCCGGAGCTGAGGCCGCGGGGCTGTCCTGCCATCCAGCCTGGGCCTTCAGCCACTCTCGGCTGCGTTTGAGGCTGTTTTTCGTGTGTGAGTGCTGCTGCTCCTGTTGTTGCTGCTGCTCAAACTGTTGTGTATAAACTAGAGAGTGGGAGGAGCGAAGTGTGTGTGGTGAGTGTGCCCCTGGTGCTCGGGCTGAGGGAGTTTGTGTGTTGATGCTGTGCCGGCCCCCCACATCAGGATACAGGGCCTCAAATACCTGCCTTCCGACATCCTTATTGCACAACCCGTAATTGTCTTTCCCTGTGTATTTCAGGCTATCCTAGTTTTCTGCTGGGTTTATGTGCGAAAGTATCAGAGCCGGCGGGAAAGTGAGGTGATTTCTACCATCACAGCCATCTTCGCCTTGGCGGTCGCTCTTATCTCATCAGCGCTGCTTCCAGTGGACATCTTCTTGGTTTCGTATATGAAAAATCCCAACGGCACGTTTAAGGTATGGTCTTTTAAAAACATGGATTGCCTCATCAGAAGAAGCACTTGTGTTGAAACAGGATGTTTGCTATTGGGTTGTCGGAAGTGTTTAAAACCAATGGTGACATCTCTTCTAGTGCCTGAGTTTGAGTAGTGTGAATACAACACTGACATCAGCTTGTTATTTGAGCTGGATTTCAATTTTCATTTCTATTACATATTTTTAAGTTATTACTTCTACTACTTATTTTCAACATTCTACTCATTTCCCAAATGCTCCTTTCTCCTGTTGTGCAAAGAGCAGTGCATGTGCCATTCTGAAGATATAAATAAATCTCTTAAATGTTGCTTTTTAGTACATTGTTATGGGGAGTTTGTTGCCTCTTGGTTCAAAACCAGCCCATTTACAGTTTGAGATTATTTTGATTCTCTTTTTCATCAGCGTTCTTTTATTCTGTTACTGAGACATTAAGACTTATAAAGATTTACGATGTTAATCTATGTATAATGTAAAGCCCGAGTTAATAAGCACTTTTTTAAAGAGAGAAAATAGGGAAAACCGTTGGGCGAAGGGAATACAGTAGTAGCTCTTCTTGGCTGATACTGCCTTAAACTGAACTACTGTTTTTATACTCTTTATGTAAAACTGTAGGGGCTTGCTGTGCAGAATGAGTTTTTAATGAGGTGAGTACTCACTGTAGTCTGCTCTAAGCGTTGCTGTAAGTAAGAGTTCTTAGCAGTGCTTAGAGCATTGGCCTTGAAGGGAGTGACCCGTTGTCTTGGTGATAACACTGCCATTAAAGCTAGATCAAACTGGAGCATATTAGTAATTTGAATAGTTTGGTTGGGAGCCTGTCTGGATCAATAGTAAAAGAGATGATTCTGGAACAAATGAGAGTGGGCAGATGACAACACACTGAGCTCAGACTGTATTCCCTTTCAGCCTTACTTTCAAGGGACAACCTAGGTCCTGCCAGATCCTGGATAATGGTTCAAAACTAGCTTGCTGCCAGTACAGTGCCTTTTGGCTGGTGCTCACAGAATTGCAAGTCATAAGAAGCCTAAAGAATTGAGCTGTGACATGATTTTTGTCCTGTTTATTGCTCAGTGGTAATACAGAATAAATTAAACTATTCTTCAATGTTGCTGTTAAAAGTTTGTCTTCAGACCTTGTTTGTTCAAAATTAAAATGGATGGAAGAGACCTTTCATGTGTCACGGTACCAGCAGTTCAATGACGATAACACTAAGTATTAAGAAATGCATTGAGGCTGACTAGCCAGAGAAATAACAATGATGTAACTGGGCCCAGCTGAAAGATGTGCATCTGCTGAGGACCAAGCAGAATTTCCTGTTGCAAAGGAGACCTATTTTGTTAATGTATGCATTCCCTGATTTGAGAAATAAACCTGTGAGGAGAACAGGAGGCCACATGTAGTCACTACAGTCCTATTTAAGGAAGTGTAATTAACAGAAGGATAACTGCTGTACTTAAAACACTTTTTCTTGATCTAGATTTCTTTCTTAATGGCCACATGCTGGGCTATGATGGGCTGGGTAGATTCTGTTTAAAAATTGTAACTGAAAGCAAGATTTCTTGCTTGTGGTAAAGCTTTTATTTCTCGAAGTACCTTTGCCTATGCTTCTGAGTCTTTTGGTCCTGTCTAGTTCCTCATGTTTGTAGATGCTGCTGATGGCCTACTGAAATAAATGTGCTCTGTGCTGCCATGCAGGAGAGCTCTTCCTTCTCTTCTAAGGCTCATCTGAAGGAGTTTCTAGCTTTGCAGCAATGACATGAGATTTTTACGGTTGATCCAACATAAGTGTTGAAGTTGTGAAAAATACATCCCGTTGAATCTGATCTGTTTGATCTGAAAGCTTGTTGATTTATAACAGCTACTTAAAACCAGAAAACCTCACCCTAGCTTATAGACCTAAGATTGCTGCTGGAATCTGAGACCTCTGGGTCTGACCTACAAGGCGCATAAATATTTAAACCCTAGCTGATGCTGCCTTGCAGAAGGAAGCCAGCTTGAAACAAGGGCATTATCATCACCATGCTGTTTTTTTTTTTTTTTTTTTTTTTTTTTAAAGCCTTTTCCTCCCCCTGGTTTTTTTTTTTTTTTTTTTTTTTGATTCTATTATTGATGCAACAGAAGGTAGGGGAGATTGGCTTTTAACTTCATATAGCAGCAGTGGCCTGCCTTTCATTCTGGTTAGACTGAACACCTCATGGAACTTGGGTGTCTGCCTGAGCTGTTAAAGCCAGTTTTCTCCTTAATGATTTGAGGAGTAGCATCTGTTTAATGGGAGATCCTTTTTGCAAACCACTCTATTAGGACTTTTTGCATCTTGGAAGAGACTCATTATGTAGCTGCTCAGAATACAGAACCACTACAATGTCAGACTTACTCATTCTAGAAAGGTGTTAGCTGGGAAATTGTTACCAACTGAGGCCATGCTTCCTGCTCTGAGTAGGAATTGCTACTTGTGCAGTAACAATACTTGGTCAGCAAAATAATGATGGTAGCCAGATGTGGCTGAGATAGACATGTTTCTGGATGTCACTCTCCATCTGGCAGTCAAAGTCCTGGCTCTGTTCCATTTTGGAGATCACAACCTGGAAGATCTGAGACCTGGATATGAAATTTCTTTATATCTAAGCATGCTTTGACCCATGTTTAGTCTTTGGTATTCCATCTTCCTTTTATTGGCTAATAATTGGGAGAGGCTAATCAGTAGAATGACAGCTTCATCTGCATTTGACAAATACTGAAACCTGGAATATTGCACCACTTTAAGCTCTATCACTTTCGTAGAGAATGGGAGCTATCTTGCAGAGTCTAACTGTGACAGTAGAAATGTCCCCTTTAATGGGGATAAAAGTATGAAATTCATGCCATTCCCTCACCCAAAAGTGGAGAAAGTCAAAAGTGTCAGATTAGTTTGTAATGTTTTTGAGGGGTGGGTGTCTATTTTTGTCAGTCAGGTTGACGGTTGGACAAGATGATCTTTAAGGTCCCTTCCAACCTAGAAGATTCTGTGATTCTTCTGTGATTCTTCTGTGATTCTTCTGTGATTCTTCTGTGATTCTTCTGTGATTCTTCTGTGATTCTTCTGTGATTCTTCTGTGATTCTTCTGTGATTCTTCTGTGATTCTTCTGTGATTCTTCTGTGATTCTTCTGTGATTCTTCTGTGATTCTTCTGTGATTCTTCTGTGATTCTTCTGTGATTCTTCTGTGATTCTTCTGTGATTCTTCCTTCTGTACACTCTTACATTGGCTTGCATTACTGCCACTTGTGTGGAGTAATGCAGAGTTTGTAAGTTCAGCCACATACACACTGGTGAAATGCTCACATCTTTGCATCTTTACAGCTTTTAATCTAAGATAATATTTTAATGAGGTGTAATGTATGTTTCGTAGCATATTACTCTGGTAGAGAAACAAAATAAAAAGCAGTTACAATGTTTTAAAGTTCTACACTTGTACACTGTTGTAAATGCTTTCCTGGAGTTGGAGAAGAGGCAGGTTTTGTCAGTTCAGACCCATTACATTTCAATTACTAGCTACCTTTTTCTGTGAAGTGGCTATGCCACTTAAACTCTGGGTCTTACTGGTGCTTTTCTTGCTGATTCTTGGTTGGTGTGGCTTCTGAGCGTCTCCATAGGAGACACCTTTTTCACTTACTTGGAAGTAAATAGTGCCACCTGATCAGTTCAGTTTTGCTTTTCCCTTCGGCATAATTTAAGTAATGCATTTCCTTAATTTTTAACACTAGGCAATTTAAATATTTTAATATTCTGTGGGCTTATTTGTAACTTATTCTGACCAAATCCTTTTGTGGTGTATCTTCATACAAATGCCTAGAAATTTTTCAGCTGAAACACTGTTGGGTTTGATTTGGACAGTCTTGTAAGATTGGGCTTACTGTACCTGACAGACATTTAACTTAGAGTGTTGCTTCTGTTCCTTCTGCTAAAATATTTTTCAACCTTTCTGAGACCCCATCCAGCTCTGGGGCCCCCAGCATAAGAAGGACATAGACCTGTTGGAGCAGGTCTAGCAGAGGGCCACAAAGATGGTGAGGAAGCTGGAGCACCTCTCTGATGAAGACAGGCTGAGAGAGCTGGGATTGTTCAGCCTGGAGAAGAGAAGGCTCCGGGGAGACCTTCTAGTACCTAAAGGGGTCCTACAGGAGAGATGGGGAGGGGCTCAGGGAGTGTAGTGATAGGATGAGGGGTAATGGTTTTAAACTGAAAGAACATATTTAGATTAGATATTAGGAAGAAATTCTTTACTGTGGTGGTGGTGGTGAGACACTGGCCCAGGTTGTCCATCCCTGGAGGTGTTCAAGGCCAGGCTGGATGGGGCCTTGAGCAATGTGGCCTACTGGGAGGTGTCCCTGCCCGGGGCTGGGAGCTTGGACTAGATGACCTTTAAAGGTCCTTTCCAACCCAAACCATTCTATGATGATCTTAAGAGACCCTCTTATCAAGACACTGTGGGAATTAGCACAACACACATCGGAGCTCCCAAAAGTGCTTGATATTCTTTCTGATCTGTAAAATCTTCCGTTTATGGGATTGCCCTATGCTTATTCCTTTGTACCTTTGCCAGGGCTCTGTAGCCAGAAACTTTTTAGAAGTAGCATTTTGTTATATCTATCTCTATGTACTTGTGCTCTTTAATGAGAGACTCTCTTGTAGTGTTGCCAAGTACAGCAGTAACAGGAAGTGCTGTAGAGATTCTCAGAAGAATATGGTCTTTATATACTATCCCCATCTAGACTTACATGCTTGAAAATAGATGTTTGATACCTTAGAAAGGGCCATCCCTACAGAATTAATTTTTCTTCCTGGTTCAAAGTCCTATCAAAGCAGATGCTGCTTATCAAATTTGACTTTGCCCTTTCTGTTGAGTGGCATCTAGAAAATGTCTTTATCTTTGTTATCTGACTTGAAGGTATTCCCAGACACGTTTGTGGTGCTTTTTCTGTGACTGAAATTCAGTGACGTGGATATCAGCCTCAAGTGGGATTTTGGGGCTGCTCTTCTAGCAATTCCCAGTGTCAGCCTTACTGATAAAAGGCTAGTGCTTTTTGTGATTGAGAGATATTGACTTCAGAATGAGTGCATCCTTCACTTGATGGGGTCCCTCCATTAATGCTTTGCACATTCATATTTTCTGAAGAGTTGCAAAGCCGATATAGATATGTTAATTATAAAATTAAATCCAATGCATCCAACTACTGGGGTGGGCAACTGGTACAGCTTAAGTAGAAAACAAAAGTAAATGTACTAAACTGTTGGTAAAAATGATGTTCACTGATAATTTTATTTCAGTTGAGCATTAACCATATAATGTATGGTAACTGAGGATACTTAATCTGAAAAAAACCAAACTAATTTTGTATGAGGCTAACAGCCAAAGTGAGTATAAACAGTGGGGATACTACTGCAGTGTCTGTCCCCTGAAATGCAACACATTCCTTAATCATCTTTGTTAGGTGAATTAACTCTTACTTAAAAATTCCAGCCCTTAAAATAAGCAAACTCAGTGCTTAATTATTTTCCTTGAGCTTCTATTATGAGCAGGTTTTTTCATTTCTATAAGAATACTGTTGAATGAAGTGTTCTTTTGTTTCATTTGATGTTAAATGCTTCTATCTTTTATTACTAGGAATGGGCTGATGCTAATGTTTCAAGACAAATTGAAGATACTGTGCTTTATGGATACTACAGTAAGTATTTTTAATGTGTTTTTTTTTAATTAATAAGACCTTTAAGTGAATGCATGAAGTTTTCGGGGGTCATACCAGATTATCCCTTTTTTGGTTAAACATTAGTCTTACACTTAGTGCCCTTAATTGATTTTTATTTTTGATCAAGACCCTCCTAAAAGTGCTAATATACTGAAGGTAAATTCATGAAAAGGCTAATGGCTTGTGTTGTGTCATCTGCTGTTAACATGTTTTCTGTGCGGCCATTAAGGGAAACACAGGGCTTTGCTGTGAGTTTTGTGGCATGTCATGTATGCAGCAGTGTGGAACTTGCCTACTGGGTATATAGTTTGTGCAAATGAGAGTGTTAACTCTTGTGTTTTAAGTGTTAGATTCAGCAATTGCCATATTTAAAGGAAGAGCTACTGTAAAGGAGCATAAAGGAGTTGAATTCAAGAGTTGTAATACTAAACAAAACCGAAGCAAAAAATTAACTGCAATAAAATCTAATAAAATATCTGTTCACAAAATCTCTGTGTAGTTTTAGATCAGCTTACTTTAGTTCTTATGAAAAGCTCTATTATGAGTATACATATGTAAGAGGTAGCTATAGAAGAGTGGTGCTTATCACTGAATGAAATGCTTGTCTCCATCAGTGATGCAAATTCAGAGATACTTGCCTGCTTTTGGTCACATTTCCTAAAACTTGTGGTTTTTTCTCTTGGATGGGTTGGCTCCTGAATATATATATGTATTTATTTTTTTTTAGACAAGAAATAATTGGTTCTAAACAGTGGATTTCTTTTTAAGTTACAAAATGCTTACAGCATGCCTGAGATAATGACAGAAACTAGAACGTGCAGTGAAGCCTAAAGCAAAAAGCAGTAAGAAACTTCTCTGCTTTCAAAAAGGAACTTTTAAAATACTATTTTTATCTTCCACAAAAATTCTTCACTACAGAAGACTGGAATTGCTTTGTATTTACTTTCTACTCTTGCTAGGTTGCTAACAGCCCAAGCATTTCCCAATTCCTAATGGGGAGCAGTCTTCACACTCTTCTGTGGACCATTTTCTATAGATTTGTTGGATTAATTTCTGTGATGTTTTGGGCTCTCTTTTTAAAGCAAAATGTCTCTTGTTAAATCCTGAACTAATTTTTGGAGTAAATCTGAGGTTAAATCTGAAAACCTGTTGGTTTTGGTCTATCTGGACAGGTCTACTTCAAATATTGTAAGACTAATACTTTATTTCATAGCCTATCCTCCAGATGGTGGTAGAGATTTAAAGATTGGTTTAAAAATATTTTTCTGTTGTGATCTTAATTTGAGGAATTGATGCACATTTTTATAACTAGAGCTACATTGAAGTGAACAGTAATAAGTAACATATTTTTCAGAAATCTCCATCATTCCTATATAAAACCACAACTTAATGCCTTTCCTGCATCATTAGGTCTAGTCCCCTGCTGCTGTTTCACAGTGTAGTGACATGAAAGCTGAGATGGAACAACTTAAACAAGTCTTCCAGACTTGTAATACTACATTTTTTTTCCTACTTGTATTATCTTATGAAAGTATTTGGTCTTGGCATCATATTTATTTTTTTTTTGAATAAGCAGGATGAGCAGAACTGAAATCTCCTTTTGTCCTTAGGGACATGAATACCAGTACTTTCTTAAATCTCCTAAAATGCAATGATAACTATATATCTTACTTGTCTGCTGTAGCTATACTGGCAACTTATAGTATGAATAATTGTACACTTAGGCCACTGCCATTCAATCCAAGTCACTTCTAATCGTGGCAAGAATTTGGAGGCTGTGGTTTAACTGATGCTTTAGACTACTCAGGATTACTTTGCTACCTGTATTGCAATTTACTGAGAAAGCTGCCACAAAATATGTAAAAGCTTTTTTTACAAAGTCAATAGTCCCCATGAACAATACACACTCTCTCTCACACCCAACTGGTTTCTTGGCTAGACTGATGTAAAAGTGGAATGACTTTGTACTGGTAGAATGATAAGTGAGGTCACTTTCAGAATGAATCTTGAAATATCTATATTTTGAAGTGGGACTTCAGTAGCCTAAAAGCTTTATTTAGGGAAACAGTCTGTGGATTGCTTTGAAGCCATGGTGGCTTAGTGTGTAATTCTCATAAAATCAACTGTGGTAGGATGTGTCTGCCAGTACTTGAGTGGTTGAAGAATGGTCAGTGGTTGGCAGATGCTGTAAAACAGCATGGCAGCTTGTGTGGGGAAGGAAAATCCTTTTCAGAAATGGTTACAATTGGAAACTGTCCAAGGGCAGTTTGTTCTGTACCACAAAGAATCAGGGTGAAACAACTGGCAGTGACCTGGAGCTGTGTTCTGCAGCGTTTCTTCCTCTAGTAAGTGACTTGTACCTGTTGGAGTCAGCCTGATGTTGAGTGTTCTTTGGTACAGTTGTGTGAATGGTGGGAGGGTGCCCTTGGCAGATCCTGCTTTTACTGAGAGGTAGGCTGAGTTCTTGACCTGCATACCTTAAGTGTCTCCCAACTATAGTTTGGCAAGGAGTGTCTGCTAAATTCTATGGGCATCTCTGAATCTGCTTAAAAGTCTAAACTAAACTCCTGATTTTTTTCTATTCCCTTTTTCTGAAATAGAGGTATTTTTCTTAAGCCAACAATAGTTATTGTATGGTGGTTCCTAGGTTAAAGAAGTTCTTGAGTAAGAATTTATCCAAAATAATACTTGATATAAATGGGATGATTTTTGCATGGAGTTGTGTGTGCTTGCTGCAAGTGTTTGATATGGAGTTGTTGACATGAGGATTTAGGCTTCTAGGAGTTAGTAGGCACAAGTCCAACGCGACCACATGTTTTCATGGTCTGTTCCTAGGAGAAGACATGCTAAATATTTGTGGAAGACTTGCATAGTTGGACTTGACAAATCCAGCATTGTGGAGCTATAGCTGTAGAAGTGCTCTCCTAATAAGTGTGATTTTTGAGAAGCAATGTGTCAGAATATAAATTTCTCTGAGAAACATCTTTAAAGCAAACCCTACTGAGGAATTCTTGCTGAAAAATTGCTTACTCTGGGGCAAGAACCATTGTTGTACTGGCTATAGAGTGAAGCACTTTGCCAGTGATAGTGTTTCAAGCTTCTGATACAACCCAGAAAAATGTTTTGAAACAGAAGTTGGACCTCTGAGCAAAGAGCAGTCCCTGATGATGACAGCTGGGCAGCCTGTTGTGCCACAGGGGAGTTAGGGGGAAGGGAGGATCCCTGCCATTTGGCTGGCTGGCTGTTTGCTGCTCCAAAACCTTGGAGTGTGAAGGTTAGCTTTCTAGGGAATAAACAGCCCTTTCAGTGGGCAGAACAACAGGCAATCAGATGCTTGCCTTTAGGTAATTAACTTGTATGACCTGATGAGGAGGTATGGTTTAGTGATGATGCTCCTTGTTTGTTGTGTGGGTGTCTATTTTTGTCAGTTGGGTTGACGGTTGGACAAGATGATCTTTAAGGTCCCTTCCAACCTAGAAGATTCTGTGATTCTGTGATTCTGTGATTCTGTGATTCTGTGATTCTGTGATTCTGTGATTCTGGCTGCTCTTCCTTTTTCATAAATTCTGAAAAATAAAATTCAAAACCTAAATTGTCAATCTCCTGCCTTGTTAGGAACTGCAAATCTTTTAAAAGTTTCCTTTATAGGAAATAATATAATATATATTATCTAATAATAAAAATATATAATATAATATAATTTTATATTCATTATATGTAATATTTTATTATAATTATTATATATTGTATTATAATATATAAAATAATATAGTATAATAGAAGAACAATGTTTTACTACTTTAACTATGTTAGCTATAAATTTATTCTTCAGTTCTATCTAAAAAAATTCTTACAGACTTTACTTGATGGATGAATGACAATGTCAGGTCTGATATAAGAGGGCTTACTGGGATCTTTAAAAAATAACTTTCATCATCCTCTGCTTTACTCCATTTTCCAAAGGATTCAGTAGTCCACTACTTTGGGTTGCAAAAAGCTAGGCTAAACTCTTCCTTGTTGTTTTCCTGCTGATATGACATGCTGTTAAATTGATATGGATTTTTGCTTAATTCGGTGAGAATCTGGGGATTTGAGAACACTGGCAGGAACTTGGGGATTGGATTTAGTTAACTATGATTTCAAGCAAAGTACAATTACTTATCCTTTTGGTAAAGTTAATCTGGATAGTCACTTGCTTTGCTTACAATGACATGAAAGGGAAGCTTATAGAAGTTACCTTCAGAAACTATGAAACTTAGGGAGGATGTCAAGAGCTTTATGCAATATTCTGTTTAGAACTGCTTAGACTTGCATCTAAGCTTGATTTATGTATTCCAGAATGCAAACACTATCCTAAACGTTTTCTGGTGAGCCACTGGATGTGGAAACGGAAATGAGCTTGAAAAAATTGGAATAGAACTGTTGGTAACAGTGCCTAGTTCAGTAGAAGTTAATTTTTACTGAATGAAAATATGTTGTTTAGATGTGTCTCTGATCTGGTTTTACATGAACTCCTTACATATTGCATTTTATTACTGAAATGGTGGGTTTGGGGAACTAATATTTTAGTTTTCCTGACTGCCTCTACTGTGGAAGTTGGATCTGACAAGTAAAAAACCTTAAATTTAGCCACTTGCTTGACACACAAACTCCTCTAGGTGTTCACATAGTCATGGTATTGAACTGTTATAACTCCTGTAAAGTTCTTGCTTTATACAATTGCCTCTGACTTAAAGTTTACTGTAGTGGTTTAAGCTTGCTAATTTACCATTTGAGTTGAGAGGCACCACTTAGCCTGGAATAGATGACTTAATAAGATATATTTCAAAAACTTTTTTTGGCAACTGACTTGTCAGACACTTGTGCCAGTCCTGTAAAAGCTGAATACAGCCTTGTTAACAGCAATATGTGTGAAAACTTTTTTTTGGTAGTGTTTCTTGAACAGAGCTGAAAAATTTGTTTACTTGACTTAGGGTGTTTTGTTCAGATTCTTGTCCTATGAGGGACTTGTACAAAACCTGGGGCAGGCTGGACAAGCTGTATATCAGATCAGCAGCCTCAATCCAATTGAGTAAGACTGCTCAACAAAACCAGTTGAGTGTATCTGATTGACAGTGGCCATTTAGAATTGTCCTCTGCTAATATACTGGAGCAGATCAAAAAAAAAAAATGGACAGCTGGCCATTAGTATGAAGAATTATAAGAAAGTGTCAGGAAACAGCTTTCAGAAAAGAAAGGATTTACAGTTTTATAATACAGTGGTAAAACATACTGCATAAAACAAACTAAAGATATAGATTAGCTAATGTAGTCAGTAACTGAACACCAGCAGTTTAAATTAAAAAAAAAAACCACCTAAGTTTACTGCCAGAAGCTTGAGCTGTTCTCTTAAAATTGAATTAAGTTGCTGCAGCAACAGCATTTAGGCAGTACCAGTATTTTATTGGTGTAGAGATAAACGGTAGCCTTACTTCAGAGTTCATAGATATTCTCTTGGATTTGGAGTCACACATTTCTTCTAAGGGAATAAAGGAAGAGAATCAGTGTCATTATCTAATGAGCTATTCATAAGTAAGGTATGGTGAAATTAATGTAGTAAACCTTGGAAGTGAGAATGTTTTCTGTGCCTGCAGTGACCCCTAAGGGCTGATTATTCTGAGATTAATGATGTGTGTAACTTGCCTTATTTACTGGAACAGTCCAGTGTGCATTTAGGACTACTGTCAAAGTTAGAGAGGCTTGATTTCTGAAAACCTTGACAACACTGAAGCGGTTTGAGTACTGCTCTAGAAGGTCTAAGAATGCAGCATTTCAGAGTTATGAAGAATTATAAGAAAGTGTCAGGAAACAGCTTTCAGAAAAGAAAGGATTTACAGTTTTATAATACAGTGGTAAAACATACTGCATAAAACAAACTAAAGATATAGATTAGCTAATGTAGTCAGTAACTGAACACCAGCAGTTTAAATTAAAAAAAAAAACCACCTAAGTTTACTGCCAGAAGCTTGAGCTGTTCTCTTAAAATTGAATTAAGTTGCTGCAGCAACAGCATTTAGGCAGTACCAGTATTTTATTGGTGTAGAGATAAACGGTAGCCTTACTTCAGAGTTCATAGATATTCTCTTGGATTTGGAGTCACACATTTCTTCTAAGGGAATAAAGGAAGAGAATCAGTGTCATTATCTAATGAGCTATTCATAAGTAAGGTATGGTGAAATTAATGTAGTAAACCTTGGAAGTGAGAATGTTTTCTGTGCCTGCAGTGACCCCTAAGGGCTGATTATTCTGAGATTAATGATGTGTGTAACTTGCCTTATTTACTGGAACAGTCCAGTGTGCATTTAGGACTACTGTCAAAGTTAGAGAGGCTTGATTTCTGAAAACCTTGACAACACTGAAGCGGTTCTTAGAAGGTCTAAGAATGCAGCATTTCAGAGTTTCAAGTTTTAAGGCATGAGCCTGAATTTTATGCTCTTGGCAAATAAACCAACTTCTGTTTGTTACACTACCATACTAGCTTAGCAGTCTCAACAGTAGGTGCCTCTAACACCTTGAAATATTTTTTCCAAAGGATAAGTTCTGTTTAGAAATAATTTTCTCATTCATATTTAGGTTCCAGATGTTGATACTTTATTTGGCTTCTAAACCACCTTCGGTAAAAATTGCTGAGGTAGATTTCTGTGAAGCACATGGGTACTGTGAGGAGTGCACTAGCCAAGATAAGAGGCTGTCAACTGAAGTTAGAGATGATTTTATTGGTCACTGGTGGGAACTCACAAATATGCAAATAATGCAAAAATATGCTATACTATACAAAATAAGGCAAAGATTAAAAATAGCCAAAGATCACAGGATTTTTGTAGTCCTGGGTATCTTTACTTACTCCAAGTGGTGACTTTATGCTTTATGCAGTCTTCGTTGTGTGGTACTTGTAACATTTTCTAGGGTGGATCCCTTTCTTGTGGGGTGCCAACACTGTAACGCACTGCTTGATAGTTTGAATTTCCTAATAGTCTTCTGAAAGATTCATGGTATAAGATCTTTTGAAGTACTGAAGGATTTTACTACATGTCCTAAAAAGCACATAACATGTTATAATACACAGAGCTGAAGATTAAGCTTGAGATTCTTGATGTTTGTAAAGACTTGTGGTAGTTTAACCCTTCACTTATGTTAAACTACCTAGTTTAGAGTCTCTTAAGATCATGTGTGCATTAAAGCAATATGACAGTGGGACTGCTTCAATTTAGTGGCTACTCAGGTAACTGCCTGTTGCAACCTTCATTTAGTCCCCCATTTAAAGCAATGATAAGAGATTATACTATATTTCTGTTTTGTGACTTGAGATACGACCATGCCTTCCATCTATAATGGACTTCTATTAATAATAGAACATCCTCTGAAACTTCGCTTTAAATCGGTTCTATTTTTCTGTATATACCTTTTCTGTGAACAACTTGTGTTACTAGGTGGCATTGCTTGCTTTTATTTGCTGTCCTCTATGCTACCTTGTCCTCAGTGTGCTGCTCCTGGGTGTGACCAGCGTGTAGATGATTACTTTTAGTCTCTTTATCATTGCTGAATTGAAGGTGGATCTGAAATCCTTAGTTTGGAAGGGTTAATTCTATAAGTCCTTTGGAGTTCACAAAACATGAATAGTTCATGCCCTGACTGGTAAATTTTACTAAACTTTTCAGTGCTTGAAATTAGTAAGAGCTAGAATGATGTGAAACTAATGTTTGATTCTTTCCTTTGAATTACTATGCAGTAAATGAAGTGTCAATGTAACTTTGTCTTTTCACTTAACGAAATTCTTTCTCCTAGCTTTGTACTCCATCATCCTGTTCTGCGTCTTTCTGTGGATTCCCTTTGTCTATTTCTATTACGAAGAGAAGGAAGAAGATGATGGCAACACATGCTTAGTAAGTTCACTCTACCAAATGCACCAAGCAGTGAAAAGACAAACGAATACAGGCAAGAATGACAGTCTAACTTGAATACTGCAATGGAAGTAGCATTTCTAAGTCTATTGCTACCATTCCTTTAAAATACTGAGATAGCTCTTAAGTCTGGCATAGTTACTCTGAGCACTGTGATCTCACATGAAATGAAACTTTACTGAGAGAAGTAATTAAAATCTATATTGCCATGAATTCTTTAAGCTTCCTACAAATTCCTTTGCGTGTGACTTTTATATACAGGAAGAAACATCTAAGAAAACTTCTTAGATGAGATTTTCCTTAAAACAGAAAACATGTATGAACAGGTTTTACAGACAGGGAGATTACACTGATTCTGAGATAGATACTCAAATCTAGTTTCTTCCTTCTTGCAGCATTCACATTTTTTCTTCAAGTAGGCAATAGTACTTTACCTGAAGCTGGCACGTGGTTATTTTTGTAGTGCACTGAAGATTTTTGACATGCACAACATTCCAGAGTATACAGTAAATGCATGTCAGTAAAGTTCTATCTTCTCAAATGAAAATATTTTTCTTAAAGAATCGTTTAGTCATCGATCATAATAATTTCCTCTCTATTTGGTTGCAACCTCAACATAATAAAGACTTCTAATTATAACTATAATATAAAGCATTGGTAATAAGAATTTTCTTTGAGTGTATTTGCATGAAATAAATGTACCCTGGCTTCTGGCCACAGCTGCTCAAGCATATAGCTTATCATAGAAGCATAATTCAGTGTAATTGTTCATAGTTCTCAAGCCATGAGACTCTTCAAAAATATGTTCTTCTGACTTGTTTCTAAAATGATTCATGTTTTCCGTGGAGCTTCTTTTGTCTAACACTTGTTATGCTAAGTATGCTTTGCCATAACTTGTTGGACAAATCCCTTTGGATTTATTTTATGTTAATATATTAACTTTTTCTTTAATATACAGCAGGTTAAAACTGCACTCAAATATACTCTGGGATTCATCACAATTTGTGCAGTTCTTCTCTTAATTGGGTGAGTATTTGTTGGGTCAAACATTAGTGGGTATATACTAAGTAGAACTTTGTCCTGTGCAAGATTAAAAAGGTGGATCATGGTCCACTCGTTCTGTGTTAATGACTATCTAGTTAATCTCTAATAGGGTTTAAATAATCTGAGAACTAAGTTATTTGAAAAGTAGGAGCTAAACTAGAAGCTAGAAAGGTTTTCTTAATTGTGGAGGTACTTGTGCTTCCAAGCTCTGCCTGTTTGTGCTCATTAAGAACATGATGGCTATGGCATTTATTTACCACAGGATTGATATCTTGGTGTTCAACAGGGAGTGACAATATTTGTGCTCTTCTGTTTTCTGCCTCTATCAAATGTTTTCATGGACATCTCAAAGCAGCTTTTAGGAATACGAGGTGGTGTTGTGTGCTTGGTACTTTCCTGAATGGAAGTGTTGTGTGAAGGATGTAAATATGTGTGAGGTTAGACTTGTACCCTTTGGAGAAAGGTTTTCCTGGCCTTTCTTTGAAAGGCGGACAGGACTGAAGTAGGTAGCTTGTTTGCAGCAAGTGCTATCACTCTGAAACTCCAAGCAGTATTACAGATTGAGTTGAAGATAAGCATGAAGCATGACATGCATACCAATACTGAATGTTTCTAATGTATGCTGTGTCATAAGCTTTTTAGCATTTTGACTGCAGCAGTAGATAAAATTTACAAAATGTATGCTAAAATGATCTGTATCAAAGTACTGGAGTGTAAAGTAGGAACTAGAGTGAAATTAATGCTTCTAATTGTATACTACCTTGTTGGAATATTGTTTCTAGTTTTGTAAACACTTAAGGTCCATTTCTAAGAAGTCTGTTCTTTCAATTAGAAGTAACATCTTTGCTGTTATGAGAGACTAAGGGAGTGTGAGTTAGCTTAATCATAGTCTAGAAATATTACTAAAACTTCTGACAAAAGCTGGTTCTCTGGCTGTTGGCTCACACAACAGGCATAGATACAGGTACGTATATACATCCGGTTTAGGAAATCTCTCATTATCTCTGGGAGGTGTCATCTGAATCCCCAGTAGCTGTAAGCATGTTTGGTCCTCTCTTCCAGTGAGATGGAACTTGGGTTTTGACTTCCTAATTGTCCTCTGTCCTCTTCTGTTTGTTCTTTAAAGTCTTCCCAAGGTGTGAATTGCAGCAGTGTTCCCCTGACACTGCCCCAGGAGGGTGAGAAGGACCAGCAGAGCAGGAGCTGCAGTGCTGGGGCTGAGACTGAAGTAGATAAAATTTACAAAATGTATGCTAAAATGATCTGTATCAAAGTACTGGAGTGTAAAGTAGGAACTAGAGTGAAATTAATGCTTCTAATTGTATACTACCTTGTTGGAATATTGTTTCTAGTTTTGTAAACACTTAAGGTCCATTTCTAAGAAGTCTGTTCTTTCAATTAGAAGTAACATCTTTGCTGTTATGAGAGACTAAGGGAGTGTGAGTTAGTAATATTTCTAGACTATGATTAAGCTAAAACTTCTGACAAAAGCTGGTTCTCTGGCTGTTGGCTCACACAACAGGCATAGATACAGGTACGTATATACATCCGGTTTAGGAAATCTCTCATTATCTCTGGGAGGTGTCATCTGAATCCCCAGTAGCTGTAAGCATGTTTGGTCCTCTCTTCCAGTGAGATGGAACTTGGGTTTTGACTTCCTAATTGTCCTCTGTCCTCTTCTGTTTGTTCTTTAAAGTCTTCCCAAGGTGTGAATTGCAGCAGTGTTCCCCTGACACCCACAGGAGGGTGAGAGGGACCAGCAGAGCAGGAGCTGCAGTGCTGGGGGCTGTTGGCTCACACAACAGGCATAGATACAGGTACGTATATACATCCGGTTTAGGAAATCTCTCATTATCTCTGGGAGGTGTCATCTGAATCCCCAGTAGCTGTAAGCATGTTTGGTCCTCTCTTCCAGTGAGATGGAACTTGGGTTTTGACTTCCTAATTGTCCTCTGTCCTCTTCTGTTTGTTCTTTAAAGTCTTCCCAAGGTGTGAATTGCAGCAGTGTTCCCCTGACACCCACAGGAGGGTGAGAGGGACCAGCAGAGCAGGAGCTGCAGTGCTGGGGCTGAGACTGAGGAGTGACTGAGCGGTGATTCTCCACAGGGACAGATCTGAAATCCGCTGGCCTAAAGGGCAGGAGTACCTACTGCAGGGGGCAGGACTCCTGTACATACTGATCAGGATTTTAGTATTTCTGGGGTCTAATCAGAACCATTTTTTTTTGCTATTACATATATGAGGTTGATTTCTTTTAAGATGGTAATAATTAAATAGCGTCATCATCCTAATGCCCTTGGAATGAAAAAGTACCCTTGCTACTTAAGATGCTGCTGCAAAGAATATAATTCTTGTCTGTCCCTTTAAGGGGAAACTACAAGACTGAACGGCTCAGTTTAGGAAGCAAATGAGGTAACTGCTGAAGAAAAATGAACTTTGGTTCTAGCGTAGTTACTTATTTATATATCTTTTAAAAAAGCAGGTGTCTGACTGTTTATGCACATGCTTGATATGGAAAAGTTATTGGTCTTGGAGTTGCTCAGCTACCTGCATAACCAGGGCAAACAGCAGCCTCGGAGTGCGATGGGGAAGAGATGTGTTGGAGCTGAACACTGCCACGTTCAGTCCTGCCCCTCGTGTGGAGTCAAGACAAACCTTGCAGTACTGCCTGTACCTGGCAATAGCAGGAGATTTTCTGTGGTCAGGATCAGACCAGTGTTGTAACAGAGGGGAATTGTACATACTGGATTTAATTTTAGGAGGCCAGGCTTAATGGGCTAGAATTGTCATGCACACGGGTTAGGAGAGCAAGAGGGATTGGAATATTTCCTGCTAAGTTCCTACAAATAGTCTGTCACTGTTGTGTGATTGCATGGCTAGTGTCTCTTATCAGAACCTCTGCTCTGGTTAATTTAGCAAGAGATCTGTGTAACTTAAACAGGTCAATAAATAGCCTGGTTCCTTTAAAGATAGCTCTACACAAGAAGTCCCTACCTTTTTTTCTGCAGTCCTCAAAGAAACCGTAAAAGCTGAATTAACCTCAAATCTCAAGAATATTTTATTCTTACCTAGATGTTTACCTTGCTCCACTAGAGATCTATTTGACAATTTTGGGAAACATAATGTCTGTTTTGTGCCAGATGATCTTGGAGCTTTTTTTGAAGTGGATACCATAGCTCAATGAGCAGTATTCCATTGTCCAAATTGTTATACCTGTTAACAGATACAGTATTTCTACCTCCTAGTCTAGCCCTCTGCACATAGTCTCTTGCTGTGGCACTTAAATGCTCTGCACACAAATCACTTGATGCAAAGTATCATTAAAAACAAAATACAGGACCAATATATACTGGAATATGCAGAATGAATATTTACAAATAGTGCTTTCCCTTCTCAGAAATGTATCTGTTTACCTTGAATATAGTAAATACTCTAGCTGTCATGTGCTGGAGCCAAGGGGCTTGAGATAATACAATCTACATTAAGGCACCCTTATACAGCAGTCTGGTTTGAACTAAAATATTTGCTTTTGAGGCTAATGAATATTTGGTTCTAAAAGGAATGATTCCCTGTCAGTGTTTGGAATTAAACTGATTACCTCTAAATTTTTTAGAACCATTAGTTTTTAAAAACCTATGATTATATGTCTAATTAGCCTATAAATAGTTATGCAAATGGTATTATAGCAGAACACACTTTAATGAAATGAGTTTAAATCTTAGTGTGTTGGAAATTGTTTTCCTAAGGGTGGCAGTTAATGATTCAAGGATCAACCTTGACCCATCACTAACAGCACTGTGTTGTTAGCCCTATCGAAAGCTAATGGTTTTAAACTGCCTGCCTTGCATTCACTTTCCTTGTTCTGCAGTCCAGATATTGATCTAGATCTTAATCATGATATTCCCAGGGTGTGTTTTAAACAGCACAGCAGTTTGCTTCTATTTTTAAAATTACCTCAGTTAATAATTTCTTTTGTGTCCAAGCGGAGTTCCTCACAGCTGAGCTCTCTCTGCATTAACTCAGCTCTCAGCTACACCTTCAAAACCATGCCTGGTCCTTGTGCTCTGGTCCCTTGCTCTCAGTGGGCTGCCTTGTATTTCATGGCAGCCATGACAGACAAATGGAGTTATTTAGCATGGAAACTTCTCATTCTGGAGATGGCTCCTGTGGCCCTCAGGCTGTGTTGATCATTTAAGTGAACACAGCGAAATAGCCAAGACTTTTGTTAAATATCTTCCTGCTTAGTGTGCATGAAGAATAGGCTTGACCTGCTGTTTGCTGTGCTGGGGCAATAGATGGGCTCTGTTTCAGAGGTCTTTGAGGAGTGTGGGCTGGATACAGGTCTGTGGATGGCTAGGTTTGGGAACTGTCTTGTTCTTTTTTCGGCCTGTTAAGTAGAGGCCAACCACCTGTGCAAGTGGCCTTGCTAGTTGAGGGACCCTGTTTGCAAGGGGAAATTAAGATTCCTGCTTGCTTGGGATTAAAATGTCTGAATTTGTGGCTCCTGCATTCTTTTCTGAGGCCCTTGGTGCATGGAACTTGAGGCAGAGCAGAATCAGGTGTCCATCTCCTCCAGTTGCCTTTTAGCTGAGCACTAACTGAGGACAGTGCGTGGTGTGGTACTTTGGCTTCTCTTCTGATCAGTTAGGTGGGAGTAGATTACAACAGGCTGGGTGTAAGCAGTCTTGGTTAAAAAAAAAAAGCTCTTGGAGGCAGGAAGAGGGGGGAAGGCAAGCAAGTTATGAATATCCTAAGATATTATTCCATCTCATTTGTTCCCTGCATGTGGTCCACAGATAGCACATTCACACTGGTGCTAACATAAAAGGGCTTGAGCTCCCTTAGTTTCCCAGAGTCTCCTATTGTGACCCTTTCTAGCAAATAAACCTGCAGTTGTTTGTGTTGCTCTCTCTTGAAGTAGAAATTTTGCCTTGCATGGCTTTAATACTTGTCTTGATATTTTTTATTTTTTTTTTTGCCTGGATGCTGTTTTACAGAATGAATTGCTTCTAAATGTAGATACAAGAACAAAATCTAAAGTCAGCAAACATGTATCAACTTAAGTAAATGCTAGCCTTAATCTGTCTCTTGCACAGCCAAGAAGCAAAAAATCAAACTTCTAAAAAGTTAAGGTTTTAATTTTTATTAATTTTGCAGTGTACTGTTCTGGTTTTGATGTGAAACTTATAAGTGGACTTAGTTTAGCACTAACCTCTGAAACACACGCTCATGTTCTGTTCTTGAAGTTTGAAACATAGTCCTGGAAGATGCGTATTTGTTATTCCTTTGTTGTTGGGTCTTGAAGCAGGGATCTAATTATGTATTTTCTTGGAAAAGTCTAAAAAGTACCTGTGAGCCTTCTTTATGGAGGTTGGTTTGGGTTCTCATGTTCTTTACCTAAAATGTTTCTTTTCACGTCTGACTTCCTGGTGCCTTGTTGGCATTCTGTTTCCTGTCTGGAAGCTATGGTTTCAGACTGGTATGGAGGTACTGGTTTTCCAGCTGTTACAGAACTAGCTGTCTTTTCTCTGGCTATGCTAAAGAGTTACTCTTACTGTTGGACTTCAGCTGGGGAGGGTGACAGCAGGAAGCTATCAGCTGGGCAACTGTTCTACCTGACATCCTTCTGAGCACTCTCTGCTAGTCCCTGCTTATTGGGAGATCAAAAATAGCTAATGATCTTCTCTGCAGTTCTCTGGGCCAACTACAGAACCAAGAATGGAATGCAGAAGATCTGATATTATTATACTTGTAATAATGGAAGATAAACATGCCTCTTTAATCTTTAATTAATGCTTGGTGTGGGAATTGTTAATTGTTTTATTCTAGCTTCCAGAAGTGTGGATTTATAAGAGAATATGTCTCAATTGATACTTAAAGTCTTTTTGCTCCTCTGCACACGAGTCAAACCAGGATAGTAAATTAGATTAATACATCATTTAATGATGCTTGAGTGTTGGGTCCTTACCTCTGCTAGTACTGCTAAATAGAAAATTACTTGTTCATTGACCTCAGACCTGACTGCACACACGTACACATGTACTCTGCTGATCTAAATAAAGCATTTGAAGGAATGTGAATTATATTAAACATTGCCTTCAGAATTTTTTAAATGTAACATAATACAATTTTTCTTCAGGAGTAAGTGGGTTTCTGTTTTCTTGGAAGTAGAATTTTTTTTTATTTGACTAATTAGGGTAAGTGAGATCTTGTGCTTTGTTACAGTGCTTTTGTTCCTTTGGATATTCCCAACAAGAAAAACTCCACAGAATGGGAGAAAGTGAAGCTCTTGTTTGAAGAATTCGGAAGCAGTCGTAAGTTTGGGATTTGTTCTGAACTTTATGTAACTTGCTACTAACTTATTTTGGCACACTTGTCATTGATTGAACAACACAGCTTTCTTGGTGACAGTTTTCTATCTTTAGCTGCTCACACTAAATCTTTGCAATAAGTTGTTCTGTTTCTGTTCAGACAATAAAAAAAGGAATTATCTTTAAAGTAGAGAGAGGAGATGCTGGTAGTGTCTGCTTTCAGTACAGTCCCCATTTGAAAAGGATTCTGGTGTTGTGTCTTAGGATGTTAATCGTGGGGAGGGAAAGGTAATTTTTTCCATGGAGTCTTCTGTTACTTTGATACCTTAAAATCAGTGAACTTCAGTATGGTGTGTATCTTGTATAACAGTTTTTGAGTGCATACCTTACTAAACATGATACTACTGTTCACTGTAAGAACAAGGTTATTTTATAAGTAGCTTTGACTATTTAGACAGGAAAATCCTATGGGTGTTAGGATTTTTTCCCTTTGTTCTCCCAGTATTGACCTTTTCTAAAACTTTTTTGTTTACATTTGTTGTTCTTTATGCAACGGCTATAAAGAACTATTGTGAAGGCCAAACTCCAAGAAGTTGTGTTTTACCTTTACCTTACACAGTTCGTGTATTTAGCCAGAGTGTTTTCAGAGCAAAGGTGTGAAGAAAGTTTTATAGGTGAGCTGAAGCAGACTTGGTATCACTTTTCAGATATATCAGAAAACTGGTAACTAAAAGTTACCTAACAAGCATTCATCCAAATGCATAAGTATTCTAATAATTGTGCCTAATTCTTGCTATGAATCAGGATACTGGCTTCTGTCTGAATGTTTTAGAATATAGTGCTATGAGCCTTGGTATAGTCATATTCTGTATTATTCTAGGCATTTTGTCCTGAGTAAAAGTTCCCTGCAATGAAACTCATCAATACTTGGTACATCCCCTCTGGGATGCTTTGTCCAGTTTGCTTAAGTATTCTCAACCTCTCCTGCTGTCGTGGGTTTGGCTCGATTTACCAAAACCAGACTGACAGGGGCCCTTCCTCCCTCTTTCCCCACCCCCTAAAAGAGTGTTTTATACCAAGCATGGTGCAGATGGGGTGGAATACCCTGTTGGTCAGGTTTGGGTCCCCTCTCCTGTCCCCTCCTCCCCACAGATGTGACCCCTCTGCATTTTTCTGTTTCTGACCCTCTAATGGGGCAAAGAACGAAAATTGGCTGCCCTTGGTTGTTCTAACAATAAGGATAAGCAAGGGCCTCTCTGCACCCCGTTCCTGGGCATGGAGCACAAACATGGGTCTGATACTCTGAGAAGGAGCAGTTTTCTCCACAATACGCTGTTGATTTCAGAGAGTTGGAAGAGGCCTGGCTAAAATGTAAAATTACAGAGCAGGAAATTGGTTCAGTTTTACTTCAAACCGGGACCAAGGGTGCATCATCTTTAAAGCCTTCTGCCCTGTTGTCTTGGGCCTGGGTTTCCTGAAGTCTGATCTTGCTAGTAAAGACTGAGCTAAAGAAGGCATTCAGTACTTTGGCCCTTTCCATCACCTGTGTTGCCAGGGCCACTCAGTAGTAGACCCACATTTTGCCTTGTTTTCCTCTTGTCACTTATGTACTTGAAGAAGCCCTTCTTGTTCATCATGATAGGTGCTGTGAGCTGTGCTTGCAGGCGTAGGAGATTGTGGGAGACCTTGGCTCATCCGTGGGAGCCTTAGCATCGGCCTTGTGCAGACATCTGTGTGTCCTTGGAGAGGCCTGAGAGTCTGGAGAAGAAGGGAGTAAATAAGATTAAGGACCTGTCAGAAGCCAGCAGAGGAAAGTTACTGAAGTTACTGCAGAGAACAGAGGAGGAGGAAGTCATCCACTCATGAACTGTTGGACTTTAAGTGAACCAATTATACATGGGCACACGTTTGTAAGAAAGATATAAAAGAGTGTGTTAAAACAATAAAGTGGGCTTCAGCATGATCAAATTGGTCTGTGTCTGGGTCTCGCCGCAGGAGATAAGGAGGACAAGTCCATAGTTTTTTCAGAATTTTGGCTGCCTACTTGTTTGTTTCTCTTACTTCAAAGATTCTAACTGACAGCATAGAATAAAATGCTTCTTAAACTGTTTATACTGGCAGTGACAGTGGTTGACCGAGATGTAAGCTAATTTTTCTAAGCTACCTTGATATGGGTGTCATTGATATGTCTGCACATGTCCTTGATATGAAAGTGTACTATAGCTAGTGCTTACTTCTAGGAAAGCTTCATCATGAAGATGCTGGGTTGCGATGTGGAATCCTGGTTTTGACTTCTTCCTCTGCCAGCATTCTCTTGTGACTTTTAATTTCACAGGAAGGTTCAGACTCAAGAGACTTTAGGTCATCTAGTCCAATCTCCTGCACAAAGGAGGAGATGCTGGTAGTGTCTGCTTTCAGTACAGTCCCCATTTGAAAAGGATTCTGGTGTTGTGTCTTAGGATGTTAATCGTGGGGAGGGAAAGGTAATTTTTTCCATGGAGTCTTCTGTTACTTTGATACCTTAAAATCAGTGAACTTCAGTATGGTGTGTATCTTGTATAACAGTTTTTGAGTGCATACCTTACTAAACATGATACTACTGTTCACTGTAAGAACAAGGTTATTTTATAAGTAGCTTTGACTATTTAGACAGGAAAATCCTATGGGTGTTAGGATTTTTTCCCTTTGTTCTCCCAGTATTGACCTTTTCTAAAACTTTTTTGTTTACATTTGTTGTTCTTTATGCAACGGCTATAAAGAACTATTGTGAAGGCCAAACTCCAAGAAGTTGTGTTTTACCTTTACCTTACACAGTTCGTGTATTTAGCCAGAGTGTTTTCAGAGCAAAGGTGTGAAGAAAGTTTTATAGGTGAGCTGAAGCAGACTTGGTATCACTTTTCAGATATATCAGAAAACTGGTAACTAAAAGTTACCTAACAAGCATTCATCCAAATGCATAAGTATTCTAATAATTGTGCCTAATTCTTGCTATGAATCAGGATACTGGCTTCTGTCTGAATGTTTTAGAATATAGTGCTATGAGCCTTGGTATAGTCATATTCTGTATTATTCTAGGCATTTTGTCCTGAGTAAAAGTTCCCTGCAATGAAACTCATCAATACTTGGTACATCCCCTCTGGGATGCTTTGTCCAGTTTGCTTAAGTATTCTCAACCTCTCCTGCTGTCGTGGGTTTGGCTCGATTTACCAAAACCAGACTGACAGGGGCCCTTCCTCCCTCTTTCCCCACCCCCTAAAAGAGTGTTTTATACCAAGCATGGTGCAGATGGGGTGGAATACCCTGTTGGTCAGGTTTGGGTCCCCTCTCCTGTCCCCTCCTCCCCACAGATGTGACCCCTCTGCATTTTTCTGTTTCTGACCCTCTAATGGGGCAAAGAACGAAAATTGGCTGCCCTTGGTTGTTCTAACAATAAGGATAAGCAAGGGCCTCTCTGCACCCCGTTCCTGGGCATAGAGCACAAACATGGGTCTGATACTCTGAGAAGGAGCAGTTTTCTCCACAATACGCTGTTGATTTCAGAGAGTTGGAAGAGGCCTGGCTAAAATGTAAAATTACAGAGCAGGAAATTGGTTCAGTTTTACTTCAAACCGGGACCAAGGGTGCATCATCTTTAAAGCCTTCTGCCCTGTTGTCTTGGGCCTGGGTTTCCTGAAGTCTGATCTTGCTAGTAAAGACTGAGCTAAAGAAGGCATTCAGTACTTTGGCCCTTTCCATCACCTGTGTTGCCAGGGCCACTCAGTAGTAGACCCACATTTTGCCTTGTTTTCCTCTTGTCACTTATGTACTTGAAGAAGCCCTTCTTGTTCATCATGATAGGTGCTGTGAGCTGTGCTTGCAGGCGTAGGAGATTGTGGGAGACCTTGGCTCATCCGTGGGAGCCTTAGCATCGGCCTTGTGCAGACATCTGTGTGTCCTTGGAGAGGCCTGAGAGTCTGGAGAAGAAGGGAGTAAATAAGATTAAGGACCTGTCAGAAGCCAGCAGAGGAAAGTTACTGAAGTTACTGCAGAGAACAGAGGAGGAGGAAGTCATCCACTCATGAACTGTTGGACTTTAAGTGAACCAATTATACATGGACACACGTTTGTAAGAAAGATATAAAAGAGTGTGTTAAAACAATAAAGTGGGCTTCAGCATGATCAAATTGGTCTGTGTCTGGGTCTCGCCGCAGGAGATAAGGAGGACAAGTCCATAGTTTTTTCAGAATTTTGGCTGCCTACTTGTTTGTTTCTCTTACTTCAAAGATTCTAACTGACAGCATAGAATAAAATGCTTCTTAAACTGTTTATACTGGCAGTGACAGTGGTTGACCGAGATGTAAGCTAATTTTTCTAAGCTACCTTGATATGGGTGTCATTGATATGTCTGCACATGTCCTTGATATGAAAGTGTACTATAGCTAGTGCTTACTTCTAGGAAAGCTTCATCATGAAGATGCTGGGTTGCGATGTGGAATCCTGGTTTTGACTTCTTCCTCTGCCAGCATTCTCTTGTGACTTTTAATTTCACAGGAAGGTTCAGACTCAAGAGACTTTAGGTCATCTAGTCCAATCTCCTGCACAAAGGAGGCAGTAAGGTCAGAACAGGCTGCTCAGGGTGTTATGAACTAGCTCTTGGAAAGCCTGGAAGGATGGAGACTTGAATCTCATGGTGAAACAGAATTTCTCCTCTTATTCAGTGTGGATACACACGCTGTCGCCCGCTGCCTCGCACTCCACTGCTGCGCACTGCTGAAGAGCCAGGTCTCGCCCTCTGACAAGCAGGCAGGCTGTGTTAGGGCTCTCCAAAGCTCTCTGTGATCCAGGCTGAACAAGTTCCCTCAACTTCTCTGCACAGCATGTGTTCCAGCCTCTGACTGCCTTAGATCTGCCTGCAACTTGCTCAGATTCATCTGTCTTGCCTGTAGTGGGGCCTCAGTGCCGGTTGCAGCATTCCCTGTGTGGTCCCTTCCCTGAACAGATGGGGATGCTCCGGCTGATCCAGCCCCTGGTGCTGTCTGATTCCTGCACAGTGCCTTATCTGCAGGGTGCTGTCTGCCCACACCCCCAGGCTTTTGGAGAGCTACTCCCCAGCCAGCCAGTCCCAGCTGGTATTGTTGCAAAAGCTTCTTTCATGTTTCAGATGCTGGAGAAAGGAGGACAAAACTCTTGCCTGTTATCTTCACTTGTACACATTGCCCTGGTTTTGTGTTAACTTACCCTTTTGTCTTTCTGCAGTTAGCCCAAGAAATACAAAGATCTCAATTTTGGATGTTTGTTCTATGCCTATTCAGTCTCTAGTGGGATTATAAAAGGAACACCAACTCATCCACTGAGGCAGAGCCTGATAATATACTCCTAGTATAAAACTATCAATTTTTCAGCCAGTTAGTTTCTCAATGTTGATATTAAATGCTGCTTTCAAATGTATGTGCAGGAGGATCATCGAATATGGTGTTAAAGTACATTGTGTGAATTACACACAATTGTGTGAAGTACATTAGAAACAGATGCCACTTACATGTGAGGTTTTCCCCATTAACCTAAGAATATAGGTAAAACTTTTTGCAAGTACTAAAGGGGGAATAGTGCTGGAGGGTTTTTTCTGGTTTTAAATATAGCTGTGGTATTTGAAATTTAGAACATATTGCTCTTAGCTTTGGGAAAGTTGTTTGGTATTATCTAGTAAAAATAGCAAAGGAGAGATTTGAGCTGTGAAGTTGGATTTGGTTGTTGGATTGGGCTTTGGTATTTTTGAAAGGAGACCTGTAGGGTTGGTCGGAAGAAAGATGCAGTTTCTCATAGAGGATAACTCTAACAGGATTTCTCAGTTTGTGAGTGCTTGATGCTGTGTTCAGGTAAGGAACAGAAACTAGCTCTTGGATAGAAACTGGCTAATTCTGTGTGAGGAGGAATAAGTTACTGTTCTCTAAGCTCTTGAATTAACTGGAGGGAAGGGAGGACACGGGTAGAAGGTTTAGTAGTAGCTTAGTTATTATGACTGGGTGCAAACATGAAATTGATTCCTTGAAGTGAATTTCTATTGTATCATGGAAACATAGTAACTATTATTTAACAAAAGAAGCTTGTCCTATGATGTCCTGCAGAGTGAGGTTAGGGACAGGGCTGTTGTGGAAAAAATACACGTGAGTATTCAGGAGGGTTTGCCTTTGGGGGAAGAGTTTGATACTTTTCTTCTATTATCCTTTTATTTCTCGAGCGGTAATAAGGCTACAGTGACTCCTCAGTTACCTCACCTTTTCCAGTTTGTATATCTGGGTGTACACAGTCTGAGGGAAGGAAAGCCCACAGCCTGAAGGATGTATGCTTGCCTAATTCTCTGGATAGTGCTTTATTATAAGAAATCAGGAGGTAACAAACAAAACAATGTGAAAATTGCCACAGCACCCTGTGGAGGCCAGAAAGTCTTGAACAGGCCTTAGACAGCTGTGGGGGCAAGTTCCTTAGTAGCTGTTTAACCATTTGTCTGAATGCAATGTCTGTGAACTTGGAGCACTAGGGAAATGGCTGTCCTGCTGCTTGCAGTGTTGTAGGAGGATCTACTGCTGCCAAAAAGATGTGGCAGTAGGTGAATTTTTCATTGGAGTTGTTAATGGCTGGTAACTATGGCTCAGTTTTTTTCTTCACTCTAATGAACTTAAATATCTTCAGGATGTTAATTCAGGAATAAATGTTCTTCTACTGTAGTAATTTTAAATAGGCTTTTCTTTCTTTTGCAGATGGCCTGACTGCTCTTTCGTTTTCCATTAGTTCCTTGACTGTGATTGGGATGTTGGCAGCTATCACTTACACAGTAAGTTCTTTTGCAAATGTTTCAGCTCTTTACATCTATGATACTTGCAGTTATGGCAGACTAAACCTGTACAGAAAATGGTCATCATGCTAAGTAGCTTCAACTGTGTCTTCTAGCTTTGCATTCTCATGGTTTCAACACTTAGAAGTACTAAGTTCTTGGAATGAGAGGAATAAAGTTTTACAGCAAGTTTAAGAACCGCTGTTTCAGTACTTAAGCACAGATCAGACTTAATGTTTCTGCAAGGAGATGTCACATGATTCCTTATGGCTTGTAACACATTCACTGACTCCTCCTGGCTTTAGGTCTCTCTCTTTTTCCCTCCAGCAGTGGAGAACTAAATACTGCTTTTTCTTTATTCATGGAACTATGGCGTGACTTAGGCTTAGTCTGGTCAGTCTATAATGCTGAATATAACCTTTACTGCGACTTTTCTCCACTGGTGTTTTTATCTTTACAAGGCTTTACAATGAAAAGTCTGGCAGAATAACTTGATTCACAAAGATGTATACAAAATGTTCTTAATCATAACTGTCTCTTTGTAAAAGGCTGCTCTTCGTTCAATGGTTGTCATTATACTAGCCTGCTACTTCTCATTTCCTATGGCTTCAAACATCAAAATCTGGTCACTAAATTTGACCTAATGATACATACAGAAAAGATCTTGTCTCATGGTTTGGGGAAAAATAAAGAATTTTGCTGCTGAGCTGTGAGTTTCTCTGCAGTTTGTGAGTGGGATAACATGAAATTCACTGTTAAAGCTGAAGATGCTAAAGAGATAAAACTTACTTGGTATGGAAAATTCCCGAGTTCCTCAATTTCTGTGAAATACTACCTAGAAATTTGGGGAGGGATTAATAATATACACTGAATCTGAGAGCATCTCATCCCTGAAGGTAAATCACTGGGAGGGTACTAACAGAAATTACCGGCTTAAGGAGTTAAAAAGTTGCTTCTCCCAGGGAAGGTCAGGGCTTCCTCAAAACTATTTTCAGTGATGACTTAATACAGAAGATGGTCCATGTCTTTGCAGATGCTCTTGGTTAAAAGCAAGAACTATTGCAAGAATTTGGTTTGAATTCAAGTTTTTTGGTTGCTAGGAAATCCCTTCAGGAGTCAACAGCTAATATTTGAATAAAGGAGCAAATTAAATGTTTTATGGCATTTCTTAATACCATGTCATTCAAATGAGAGTAGAATGAGATGCAAGGAGGATGACTGAGGAGTAAAAGGAGTGTTGAGAGAGAGGATCTCGGATCTTCACACTTCAAGTGGAAAATAAATTGGCTTGTTCTGTTTGACTTTCCCTGTGATGACATTTGGGACAGTCCTGCAGAATGTGGAAGTGTGGCTTCTCTGGACCTGTACCAGTGTCTGGCTGTGGGGTTCTCCAGTCTGTATCTCCTCCAGTAGCGTTAGCCTTCTATAGGGAAACCAGAGCTTCTCTAACTCTCAATTGCAAAGGGAGATGAAGTGTCCAGCATGAGGCTGAACACTTTGAAGATGGTCTGTAAGAACAAGCTAGAGCAGACATCTTTGTATTTGACAAGTCCTTTGGCGGCTTAATTCTGTAACAGTAAATTCTCAAGTTGCCTCTTACATTTTCCCTGCAAGCATATGTTCTATTAGCTTAGTTTCTCATTTTTACTATAGCCATTCCATTGCAGTTTCTCTTCCTAAGGTACTTGTTTAATCAGGAGGTGGGCATGGAACTGAATTGTCTAAATTTTCCCAAAACTTAAAACTTTTTACAGAGTGTAGCAAACTTACAGTGCAAAGTCCTGCTGCTGCTGACCTTGATGCTTTAGACTGACAGCTTTCCATGTCTATAAATGGGAAATATAAGAAGAAAATGTTAGGGCTGCAGTGCTTGGTTTGAAACAGTTTCACAGATAATGTATTTTGCATCTATTCTTTCATTAATGTATTTTGCATTGAAATGGTTTTACATTGCCTTAGGTATTAATACAATAGTTTTGTCAGCTCCAGATTGCTGTTTGAATTCCAGGCAGAATAACATATTACTCACACAATGATAGGCAGATTAACTTTTGAGTGATCTTGTGCATCTCATTTAGCATGTCCTTGAAGGATGATTATAATTGGCTCGGTAATTTTTCCAAAACAATTAATAAGCATAGTTTGATTTCTTATGAAACTGCGAAGTGATCCTTCTTCCTCCATCCTGAGCAAGGAGGTGTTAAAGCTCAGTTTCTGTACTGACAAATTGAATGACCTCTTCACACCTGATTTTTGGCCAGAGTATGATTTGCTTTTCTTGCAGTTGACTTTAACAGCCAAAAAGCCTGAAGCCTTTTATAATCTTTCTAACCTTAAAATCAGTCATTTGCTACTGATTTTTCTTTTAAGTAGACATCAAACAGTTAGTGAGAAATCTACAAGTTAGTAGCATTCATCATCATTACCACTTAATCACTTCAATGTCAATTCTTAACTATAAAAGAAATGTAGTGATTTGATTATATTTGCTTCTCTGTGAAGCAGTAAATAACAAAAAGCACACCCGTTTGCGTGTCCTTTGTTTTAACAGCCTGATTGCTGCTGCAGCCTTGGAGAACTGTAGATATTAAGCTGCCAGATCAATGATAGTTTTGTACTTCGTTTAGAGTTGTAGCTTGAAAGGAGGTTAATCTTTTGGTTGTTAGTGCTCTTCCAAGCCTGATGGAGCAATGCAGAAGATGGCAGCTGGCATCATAGTTACGTTCAGTATCACAGCTGAGTCAGAGTTGACTTTTTTTACAGAAGATATGTCCAGCAAGCACAAGTTTACTGGCATGGTAGAAAAACATGCTGTAGTATAGAGGCTGTTAGACTTGGTTTCTGCATCTTAGAAACCTTGATTGCATTGTCCACTTAAACATTGATAAATGAGGTAATGTTTCCTCTCCACCATCAAGATTCAAAAATTAATATGAAAACTGAAGGTGAATACACAAGATACTGTAGTGATGAGTGTTAGAGAAATGGATGAACAGGTATTTGGGGGACTGTTGCTGTAGTGTACAACTGATCACGCAGGAAATGCTGTATGCTACATACTGGTTCAGTTGGGTCTCTTTGTTCCATGCTTTGAGACTTTTTTTATAAGCATGTCTGATTAAGCTCCCTTTTAGCAACTCAAGATTGGATACTAAAACTTCCCATGAAAGAACTGAAGTTTTATTGGTTAACATATTCAATGATTTTTGCAAGGTGTATGGGCTATGCTTTTAAAAAAAAAACAACCAAAACCAACCAGAAACCAACAAAACACCCCCACCAAACCAAAAACCTGTCCACAAGATGGTCTGCCATCTTCAGATGTAAAGGAGATAAGCCTCCTAAACACTTTTCACAAATCTGGGAAGATGTGTGAACCACTGTCACTCTTTGCTATGTAATGGTGTTCTGGAAATAAGATTCTTGAATTCCAGTTTTTCTTTAGAACAGTGTTGTGTAGATAGCCAGAGACAGGAGGAGATTTCTTTTATGTGAGAAAGTAGATGGCTGTCACTTGGGGAATGAGACTGCTCTTCAAGAGGACTGTGCAGTCAAGGTGCACAGAGAACAAAGGTGCAGTTTCAAGAAGAAGGTGCAGTCCTACTTCTGCAAACTCCAAAGTGTTGCCTGTGTTGGTGTGACACCTGCGTGTACCACATCTGAGGGTACTTCATTGGACTTGCTTAACGCTCCAGCAGAAGCAATTCTGACCAGGGCACATTGTGTCCTTATGAAACAGGGCTTAGGGTAAGCAACTGAATGATATCGATTCTATCCTCTATCAGTTGTGACCTCTCTCAGTTGCTGTGAGGGATGGAAGGTATAGTAATACGATTTCCATTGTGCTTAACATAATTGAAATAAAAAGCTGATTAGGCTATGAATACAGAAAAATCTCTTCTATAGCAAAATGTTCTTGAAATGGATAGGGTTTTTTGTGGGACCTTCATATTGAAATAAACTAACTTGCTTTTCACTTGCTTGTCCTAACTCTAGTTTAGGATATGCAGTATAGTTGGGTTTAGACTTGAATAGATGCGTATTTGATCAGGGTCTAGTTGTTAGAATTGAGCATTTTGTCTTTTATGGTCACACTTTCAGATAAAGTCCTTAAACAACCTGTTATAAGAAAATAGGAATTTGAATATTTGTTAAAGCTATGAACGTTTCTTATGTCTCCTCTATAGTGATCTAACAATAAATGGAGTGCTATCACTTTTTTGAGTTGTTTGGTGTGACTTCACTAGAGGGCAGTGCTATGAAAGAAATGTTTGTCAGCATTAATTTCTACACTTTCTGCACAGGATTATATATGTACCTTTTAAAACACCTCAGTGATAGCATTTAAAAGCAGTATTTGCTTGATCTATGGCCCTGTAAAAACAAATGGAATAGGGGGTCTTTCTGCTGTGCTGTGCAAGTACTGTCTGAGAGTGTCTTGAAATCACAAGGTTAATCCTTGAAAAACTTTAAGTAGGAAAAGTTGGTAAACTCCTTTGAGTTACAGTGCTGGTTGTGTACTGAAGCAGTCACAAACAATTTCTCTCTTCTGCTTGATCCCTAACTAGGAGTCTCTGTCCTGTTTGGGCCACAAGTTAAGGGTTAGACTGTCTGTTATTAGTTGAGGTAGCAGATACAGAAAAGTGAAACACAATTAATTTCTAACTAAACAATGGTGCCTGATGGTTTCAGGTTTTTTGCAGTAGGTGTTCAAAGTTAGCTTTAAGTCATTTAAGTCTGTCCTAAAGACATCTGCTATATTCATTTCACTGTGTTTTTTCTGTGCTTCCAACTGATAGGTGTGCTTAAGCCTGATCTTGGTTGCTTATTAGGTGTTCATGCCTTCGTAATGCACCCTCTTCAGGTGAAGTCTTTGGTAGCTTGTGCCATTTAAAAATCTTAAATTAACAGTGATGGTTCCCAATGGAAAACCTTCTAAGATCTTTTAAATACTCAAAGATTTATCTCTGAAGTAGTTGCTTGCTGCAACTCTTGTAAAACATGATTGTACAACTTGCCTCAACTTCACCTGTTCTATGACTTGTGCTTCTGCGTGACCATTAACACACGGGGCAGCTGCTAAGGAAGGCTGTTCCCTCACCTGGCCATGGGTTAGAGTTTGGCCAGGCTGAAATAGCGTATGGTGCTGAGTCTGCAAGAGACCAAAGGATCACAACGGGAGCTCTTTCTTCTAAATCTTAGCTGTGGAGTGACAGGAATAGCTGGTTCTGCTGCAGACAGGGTGGGAAGGAAAGGACACAGGAGAAGTGAAGATTAAGCAATGTTAATGTAATCTCCATTGAGGTATTTCAGTGCTCTGCCTGGAGCACAGAGTATGTTTGGGTTCCATGGCTTGTCGAGAGAAGGGCTAGAGTGGGCTTCTCACTGTTTTTCAGTGCCTACAGATACAGCATAAACAGTATTGAACTCGCTGCTGCTTCCAGGTGAGTTCCAGGCTTCTGCTTTACTGATGACAGATGTCTTTACGAATTCCTCACAGGCCTAGCTACCACTTCTGGGAATAACAAATAAGGAAGAAGTGCTAGGGGCTTTGTTTGGGCTGGTGGGTTTTTTCATAAGGATAGATAAGCTGGGTTTTCTGTTGCTTTTCTTAAATTGCTCTGTTACTTTTTTACTTTATCCTTTTGAGTAGAAGGCCACCTACTTCATGAAATCTGAGGTATAAATATGCACTTTGTCCATCCAGAGGTATTATCAGTATTGCCTGTGGCCTGTAACCAGTGGTGTCCCCCAGGGGTCAATACTTGGCCCCTCTGCTTTGCCCTGGGGAGGCCCTGGGACCAGTTCTGGGCTCCCCAGGTCCAGAAGGACGGGGAACTGCTGGAGAGGGGACAGCAGAGGCTACGAAGATGAGGGGCCTGGAGCATCTGTCTTACGAGGAGAGGCTGAGGGACTTGGGGCTTTGTAGTCTGGAGAAGAGAAGGCTGAGGGGGGATCTGATCAACACCTATAAATACTTAAAGGGAGGGTGTCAGGAGGATGGGGCTAGTCTTTTTTCAGTGGTGCCCAGGGACAGGACAAGAGGTAAGGGGCATAAACTTGAATATAAGAGGTTCCACTTAAACATGAGGAGGAACCTCTTTTCTGTGAGGGTGGCAGAGCCCTGGCAGAGGCTGCCCAGGGAGGTGGTGGAGTCTCCTTCTCTGGAGACATTCATACCCTCCTGGACACGTTCCTGTGGGACCTGCTCTGGGTGGCCCTGCTCTGGCAGGGGGTTGGACTAGATGATCTCCAGAGGTCCCTTCCAACCCCATGTGACTCTGATTCTTATGCAGCTCAAATCAAGTCTTCTCTACAGAAAGCTCATGCGATGTAACAGCAGGTATGGTGATACAACGCACTAGTGTTTGTGTTACATCTATTCTATGAAAAGTAAACCTGTGCTCATGGAGGGAGTGCCACTCTTGGGGAAATCCATAAAACCGCTCAGTGCTGAAGTTTGTGAATGTTCAGATAATGAGCACTCTAGTGAAACTGCATGTGTTAGTTGTGATTAAAAGAAAGAAAAGCCTTCCTGCTGAGCTCTGCACCAAGAACATCCTCCCACCCAGAGCAAAACAAACAAAGCCTGTGGCTAATATCTGTAAATTACTGGGAGAAACTTCTGCCCTTGGCCTGTATCCATAAGACTCAGAGGGTCGCAGGGAAGAAATAGTGTTCTTTTGTTTATCTCACCTTATTTTTTCTTGTGTTAGTAGAAAGCTTACAGATTCTGCACTGGAAAAATCTGGGCATAGCGCTGATGTAGGAGCTGGCAAACACTTTGAATGGTATAGGATTTGTAACTAGGAGTAAATGCCAAGAAAATTTCTGATTGTGAGTGGGTATCTAAGCAGTCTTTGAATGTAACTGAGTTCAGGTGTTCACTGACCTTCTGCTGTGTCTTTACTGCATAATTTTTTTGGTAAATCATATGCTTACTTTTAAAATGAAATGATGCAGAAAGCTGAAGGCTACTGGCCACAAAGGAATTGTGTGTATTTAGCTTCTAAAACGAATTAAATTCAGTATCTATAAATTCCTGTATTACACAATATTTTGATTATGATCTCAAGTGGGAAAGTTAAGGTTTTGGGAAGCGAAGTCATTTGACAAAATCCCCAAGGGCTAGCTTGATAAATCTTTAATGGGCTATGCTTATAGAAAGTCTTATCATGTGCTGTTGTCTTTGTCACTGTGAGATGTTTAAGTACTGTTGGAATAACAAAGGATGCTGGAATCTGCATAGCATGTCTGTTGTGTTTTGCTCAAAGAATGAGAAGAATTGATTGCCTTAGTCTGCGGCAGGGGGGAGGAACCAGCAGGGATACCTTAAGCTTGCTGAGTGTTATACCTATATCAGATGAAAACCCATGGTAGAAAGATTGAGTATGTATGTATCCTTTTTATTTTAGGCTTATGGTATGTCAGCTTTGCCTCTCAACTTGATCAAGGGAACTACCAGTGCAGCTTATGAACGTTTGGAGAACACTGAAGATATTGAGGAAGTGGAGCAACATTTATTAAGGATTAAATCAAAGGTATGGTCTTTACTGTTCTCGCTTTCTTAATGATTTTCTTGCTGGCTTGCTCACTAGCTTATGGTCATGCTGTAGAGAGGTTTTGTTCCAGAAAGAAGTCAGAAGTGAGTTGGTTGCAGTTGTGTAGGAGAAATCAGGGTTTTTTTCATCAGTCCTGAAGCAGGACTGGTGTCTCTAGATAACAATAGTACTGATGAGCTAAACTCAAACTTCTCCGGTCCTCTTTGGAGAGACACAAGAGATACTTTGTAGAATTCAAGAATATTAACTTCACTAAGTCTGCTGCCAGATACGGCACCCCATTTGTTGGTATTTGCTCAGTGCAGTTGTCAACACTGGATACTTGCCACATGGAGCTGTCATGAGTTAAATTCATCAAACTATTAATCATATTTATGATTAAATAACGGCCCTATATGTTCTTGCTTCCCAGCTAGTCTACCTTCCTGTTACAAATAATTTCTTTATGAAAAGCGTGTATATGGGTGTCTCTGTATATGGAATTCTAAATGTGCCTAGGATGTTAGCACCATTTATAAACCCATGATGGCTTTGCAGCTCACTGACATGCTGTGCCTAATGTCAGCACCAAAGAGTGAGCTGGAGGAGGGTAAGGTTTCTCCTTTACGTATGATGTGCTAGGGATGCCTTTTTCCACCTGATTTCAGATAATGTGACTGGTGTTTTCTCCGCCCTGGGTAGGGGGAAGGGGCGTTAAGATGCACGGCTTGTGCTGCTGCACTGCATCTCTGCTGTTGTGTGCTCTGTCCTCCCTCCATACTTGGCTACTTCTACATGGTGTGGGCACCTTCAGTGCTCTAAAAAGCTTACTGCGCAAGGAAACCTGAAAAGTAGGCTCCCCCAGTTTCAGTTGCAAGGTTTTGGCTTTTTTACAGGCTACTGCTACGACAGGCATCTGTATTACTGAAATCAGTAGGAGAAATCCTGGACCATTACTTATTACAGAACACTGTTGGATTATGAAGAGTTTGCAAGCAAATGGTCTTGTTGTTTGATCTAGCTAACAAATAGGATCTAAAAGTAGAAAGTCTTTAAGTTATATCTACATTTTAATGTGAGCATTAGTATAAACTAATTTTCTTTGCTTTATGGATTATGGTCAGGATTCTACCCCTGTGTAATTGAAATCTTAGTTCTTGAGTTACATTTGCATGAAGTGATGAAGAAAGTGAGTGCTACTGAGGGTAATGTACAGTGAAAACTAGAAGTAAGTAAGTATGCTGCTTAATTTAATGTAAAGATTCAGTATATAGTAAGGTTTTCTGCTGTTAATACACCTGGTAACTTTATTATGTTAGTCTTAAATAATCAAGGCTTGGACTGTTTTCAGCAAGTCGTTTTCAAGTCACTGAGGTGCTATAAAGGGTGTGGAGAATGTGTGTTCCTGTTAAAAGTACAGTGTCATCTCCAGTTGTTTACATATGCCTAGAATGTAGCTTTAGTCTTGTAAGCTTTTTGAGGAATTTATCTAAAATAGATTTCTTTAACTTCACTGGTGTGAAGTGTTTCACTATTTGCAGGAAGGCTTATTTGAAATAAGAGGGGGGAAAAACTGAATAGGGAATTCCAAAATTATAAATACATGGTGGGAGACAAAAAATTCTTGTGGTTTTAGTATAATGTAAGGATCAGTTTGTTATATGGTAGCATCAATGTTAGAAACAATTCTGGTTCAGTTACCTAATGCCTATTTTGTTGGATTTCCTTATTAGTGCATAACTGAGATTTAAGCATGTGCTGCTCAATTGACAGCAGAGTGCAATGGTAGGTACCTTCTCAGTACTTAGAGGCTCAGAATTAAAGTACATCCTTGAGTATAATCATCAAACCAACAATTATCTGGTACACTTAACTAATTCTTGGGGTAGTGGTGCCACTTGGTTGGGTTTATGTAAGGTTAGTTTTTGGAGCAGCAAGTCATCTTGCTCTTGCAAATACGAGAAACATAGGTGAGTATCTGTAGTGGGATGCTGGAAAGAAAATGCAGATGCCAAGCTTAATATATTGGCTTAATCATGGAATTTAATTGGAAGAGAGCTCTGGAAGTTACCAGGTTCAACCCTCTACACAAAGCAAAGACCCTTTTCAGATTAGATCAGGTCATTCAGATTGCATCTGGGTGTGTTAAGTGTTTCTAGCCATGGAGACTTCCCCCCCATTAACATCTGTGACCATCCTTGCTGTGAAGAGTGCTTTGTACCACCTGATAGGAATTCCCTTGTAGCTTCTGACTCCTGCACTGCACCCTCTTGCTGTGCATAGAAAGAGTGGGAGTTTTAGACTAGAAAGTCCTTCCAGTTGTTGTAACTCAGACTAGATGTCAAGTCTATTTTGTTGAGTCAGTGTCCTTGATTTCCTGCGCTGTCTCTTGGTGCGCAGTGCAGGGACGGCCGGCCTCTGTCATCAAGGGACAGACGGGCTGTGCAGCAGCTGGAGGAGAGGCTGAGGACGCTTCGGAGGAGAGAGAGGCACCTGGAGTCTATTGAGAAAAGCTGGTGGACGAAGTTCTGTGAAGCTATCCGACCTCTAAAGGTAAGCTTTTCTTACTTTTTGAAATGTAAATTGGAATAGCTTCTACTTTTCTTCTTGCAATATAAATTGTAGGTCAAGTTTATCAGTTACCATCCTGAATATCAACTACTTATTTTTTTAATAATTATTGTACTATAGAATGACAGTCCTATAGCAAGCTCTGAGCTCTTGGAAAACCTTTTACTTTGCTTAAAATATGATTAAGATTGAAAAGGAGCAAGTCCTAGCTGATCTGCTATAGTGTGACTGCCAGGGAAAATCTGAATGTCTTCTTGGGCATGTGAAAATGGGAAGAAGAAATGAATTCTGTAGCTGTAAGGCAGCTTAAGTTAGTCTAAAGTACATGTAGCCAGCAGAAGTGAGAGATACTTTGAGAATATATGCATTTGGAATTATCATCTTGCCAAGTAATTAGTTGATCAATAGTAAGGTAGCTGTGTGGAACTTGAGTCTTGATACATAACCAGTGCAAAGGAAACTGTTACTGGGGAAAGCTTTGATCTTGGTGTCTTTTTGATCTCAGCATTTAGATTTTAGTAGATACTTTTTTTTAAAACCAGGTTTTCTTAAGGAATGGTATTGCCATATAAAGTATTTTTTGCCAACTAGTTGTAGGAAGAAATTTTAGCATTATTTTAAAGTGTAGCCTGTGTTCTGAAAAGCTGAGTGGGGGGTACAAGTAATTTCCTCTAATGTTGTTGCTGCTGTTAGTGCTGAGTAGCAATGGAAATGGCTGAGATTGCAGTGGAACAAAAGCTTTCAACTGAGATTTGTTAGAACTGTGAAACTGTAAGTGGAGTTATCTTTCTGCGATACATTAGAAATCTAGACTTAGCCTTTTCATTTAAAGGACAAATATCTCATAACGTATCACTTCAACAGTTTAGATGTGCTTCCTTTTATTCAAAATAGCTTGTGTAGTTTCTTTAACTTTCCACGTTAACCTTAACTTCGATAAATGCGTTGGCTGTATCTATTGTGTGTAGGGCTTCAGCAGTTCAGTGTGTTCTCATAGGACAGTGTACAGTATCATAAGTTATTTACAGATTATCACTTAAGAGCAAGATATTATTCCAGTGTTTCTTTGTTCTTGTAGTGGAGGAGGTAACATAGCTTGAGGTATGCTTTGAGGTCCTGCTTTCAAAAGGACTAGGGAGTAAGAAATAAGATTGTCTTGCATTGAAAGATAGACTTCTCATGTAGATCAAGGGTTGCTTTTTTTTTTTTTTTTGGAAATGACCTTACTAAATTCCTCTGTGTGTTGTTTGGCTGGAATCCAGGCTTTTTGTTTTTGCCTGTTGTAGTACTGAAAGCTTTTCAGCATCAGTCGATAAATAGTCGTGCTGTAAGAACAAGAAGTTTTGATGAAGCACTGTGGTTTGAAGTTGAATGTGTACTCATGTTCTCAGGGGCTAGGATTCCTTCTCATTTTTGCTGTAACAAAGCAAAATTATTTTGTAAATTTCCATGGCTAAGTGTACCTACAGTCTTTTGAAGATACTATAGTTGGTCTGAAGCTAGTGAACAGCCGTACGGTAGTGTCACAGTAAGATTGTGGATGAGATTTGTCCTTTGCTAGAAGTGAAGTAAAAGGCAGCAGTGAGTGTCTAGCTGTGGCTGCAGTGTCTTTCTAGCTTAACTTAGGCTTGATGTGGGGGGGAAAGGAAAGGAAGTACCTATTTGCTCCCTTCCTCAGGTAGCAAATGATACCCAGCTGGAGGGTTGCTTTTAATTGAGGTCAGGTTGATAGCACTTGATAAGGCTCAGCTGGACTGTGTAATATGCAAGCTCAACTACTGGTCTGAGTGCTGGTATTCTCCTTACCATTGGGCAGGGGCTGGTTAATGGGTGAGAAATGAGGTGTTGGTCTGAAATCAGTTGAGGTACAAGGAAAATCTAGGTAAGAAGACAAGAAGCCTTTCTGTGAAAGGCCTGAGTTAACTGACCCTCTGAAATTGTGTATATGTAGGTTGATGTTAATTGCAAATAATTCACGGTTCAGTAGTCTTAATAGCACTGTGAAAAGACAGGATGAACTAAGGTAGAAGGAAGGTCTTTAATATTAAACATTTTAAATCTTGTATTTAATGGAATGGGAGTTGAGGTTGAATCAGGAAAATGAGTGCTTTTTCAACCACTTATCTGCATCTAAGAGTGTTACCCATCACTCTGAAAGACAGACATATTTCAGAGATGTGGATGCCTTTTTACTGGCTATAGTTGGCAGAAGGTAATGAAGTAATGCAGGCTTCAGACTCTTGGTCTTAATTGGTTTTAAATGTCTATTTTCTGTATGGCTAATATCTAGTGGGAGTTTGCTGTGGCGAGCTAAAATCTTAGTACACTTAAATATGTGGAAATGCACAAGTTAATACATACTTTGATATTAATCTGTAAATCTCTACCTAACAAGGCTGACCTAATTTTAGTTGTTTTATAAGCTACGTTTTAATATTTGAGTTTGCAGACAGAAGCCTATCTTCAGAATTTAATGAGCAACAGCATTATAACAATATCTTCAGTGAGCAGCTGTAATAAAGTTCTTAACCTTTTCAAGATGGCTGTGTGCCAAGTTTTAAGCTTAATAAAATAATTTAAGAGTAGCTATGAAACTCTCTCTTTCATGTGAAAGACCATGCATTGTGTTCCTGCATATAACATTTGGAAATAAGCCAAAGCTGTCTCAGGTTTAGCAATCTGAAAACACATTTTTTCAGTGGTGCCCAGGGACAGGACAAGAGGAAATGGGCACAAACTTGAATATAACAAGTTCCACCTAAACATGAGGAGGAACTTCTTTCCTGTGAGGGTGGAAGAACCCTGGGACAGGCTGCCCAGGGAGGTGGTGGAGTCTCCTTCTCTGGAGACATTCAAACCCCACCTGGACACGTTCCTGTGGGACCTGCTCTGGGTGGCCCTGCTCTGGCAGGGGGTTGGACTAGATGATCTCCAGAGGTCCCTTCCAATCCCAGCTCATTCTGTGATTATTGTTTTGGGAAGTCCAGCATGCTTATCTGAGCATATTCTGGCACTAGGGTCACAGAAGGATAAAATGAAACTGTTGGAGCTGTAACCACATGGGTTTGCTACAGAGGCTCACTCTTGTGCATCATCTCAAACCAACCCCCCACCCTCCCAAAGAGAAGCTTTTAAGAGGGGAAAACATCTCAAAGTGGAGAATGATTTACTGAATGGTCTTCTAGCCTAGGAAGAAAGACTAGGAGGTGTTCTTTTGAGGACAGTTTAGAGAACAATGTCCCTGGCTCAAGTGCTCTATTTGGCATATAAAAACACTTTCCTGTGTTTTAATTAAGATTTTAAGCAACAACCTTATTTCTCTGAATGTCCTTGCTTCAGGCCATTCATAGAAGAAAGTAAAGAAATATCTAAAGATTACTAAGTGAGAAGGAAATGGGGAAAATGGAACATACAGGTGTCAGAATATTACTTCCAGTTCTGTAAACTTTTTGCTACGTTGTCTGAATTATCCTGTTTAAGATCTCTTTGGAGATTTTCAAGCCCCGCCTGGATGCTCCTGAGTAACACGCTCTGACAAGCTCTGGGTGGTCCTGCTTTGGCAGGGGAGTTGGACTAGATGATCTCTATGGTCCCTTCCAATTCAGTGAAAGATAAACTTTTCATACTTTGACTATATTCAGGGACTAAATCTGCTAGTTTAAGCTGTTTGTTTATTTTAATCTAGCCCTTAAAACCTGAAAAATCTGAATGCAGGAACCCAATTTAACTGCTGATATCTTCATATACTCCTAGTAAAATTGCTTTAGTGTTTCATATGCCACCTTGGCTTAGCCAAGAAGTTCTATTCTTATCTTGTACATCAGGCAGTTACATATTAGTGTGCAAAGCTTATAAAAAAAAAAGCCTGCTATGCTGATTTTTCAAAACAATAGCAGTATCTGATTTTAAGTATGGTGGTCCTTAAAAATTTTTACTTGGTCTCTTAGCCAGCATAGATAGTACACAGCTGTTACCCTTTTTCTTCAGTTTCCAATTCCTGAATAAGATATGCACTCCAAAGGAAGACTGTGGGGCAAATGACTCTCCTAGTGCAGTGAAAGTGCTGCTCTTCATCTAGAACCTGCTCCCGAAAAGACCTTTACCTGGTGCTGGGAGTACAGTGGTTATAGAAATCTCATCTTAATCGCTTGTGGATATACAGTGGTTTTGAGTAATATTATTCAAGTAACACTTACTTGACTTTCAAGAAAATCTAGCTATTTTTCCTACTACCTTAGTGTTCATAAGTGGTTTTTTTCTAGTCTATTCTCAAGTCTTCACATCACTTCAAAGTTAAATTTCTGGGTAACTTAAACCTTTGAGTCAAAATAATTTGTAAAGTTGATTGTTGCTATAACTTGAACCTTGAAAATGCTTTGTAATACTGGATACTGCAGATGAACTGAGAGGACTTGCAGGCGGAAGGAATGAAAAAGTAGACCTTGTATTTGGGCTTGGTTACGTGGCCCCCTCCAAGCGATTGGTCACTGAGTGTTTGAGTAGTGCTACAGAAGGAAGGTGTCCCTCAGGAAAGGTAAGATGTTCCTGGGTTGCCTCCTGTTGGGAGGTGAGCACACAGGCACGGGGCTCCTGTTTGCCTTCAAGTCAAACGCCTGGATATAGTTAAGGTTTCCCATCTAATTTAGCAGGTACAGATTGTGTGTTCTGCTAAATGCTGCATTCATTCTATATAGCACCCCCTCTGTGTTTTTAATGACACTTTTGACTTATGGGTAGGTTTTTGTATCACACTGGCACATGATGTGCCCCTCCAAGCGATTGGTCACTGAGTGTTTGAGTAGTGCTACAGAAGGAAGGTGTCCCTCAGGAAAGGTGAGATGTTCCTGGGTTGCCTCCTGTTGGGAGGTGAGCACACAGCCATGGTGCTCCTGTTTGCCTTCAAGTCAAACACCTGGATATAGTTAAGGTTTCCCATCTAATTTAGCAGGTACAGATTGTGTGTTCTGCTAAATGCTGCATTCATTCTATATAGCACCCCCTCTGTGTTTTTAATGACACTTTTGACTTATGGGTAGGTTTCTGTATCACACTGGCACACGATGTACAAGCACTTCTCTCAAGTATTTACCAAAAAAAATCACTCTTTCAAGTGTGTTTGAGCTCTGAGGTGGCCAATGTGCTTGTATCACACTGGCACATGATGTGTAAGTACTTCTCTCAAGTATTTACCCAAAAATTCACTTTTTAGGTGTGTTTGAGCTCTGAGGTGGCCAATGTGCATTAGTCCTTTAGTGAAACTTAGACAAGTCTTCACTTCTTGTGTCAACTACAAGCACTTTCAGTTAAATTTCACTAAATATTTTCTTCTAGATTGTGTGGGGAGTATTCCTCATCATCGTGGCACTGCTCTTCACTGTCTCTCTCTTCTTGTCCAAGTAAGTACATTTCAGCATTTTTCTTAATGACTTAAACTGCATGGTTTCTGCTCTGACATCAAAACTGGGGTTGCTTGAAGAGTCAGACCATTTCTTTTCTAGGCTGAATTTCTGTAACTAGAGCTGCATTTCACATTGTAATAGTATATATTGAGGCTGAACAAAATGTGCTAAAGCAGATTCAAAAAAAGGCACTTTCAGTTAAATTTCACTAAATATTTTCTTCTAGATTGTGTGGGGAGTATTCTTCACACTTTCAGTTAAATTTTAATATTTCTTCTAGATTGTGTGGGGAGTATTCTTCATCATCGTGGCACTGCTCTTCACTGTCTCTCTCTTCTTGTCCAAGTAAGTACATTTCAGCATTTTTCTTAATGACTTAAACTGCATGGTTTCTGCTCTGACATCAAAACTGGGGTTGCTTGAAGAGTCAGACCATTTCTTTTCCAGGCTGACTTTCTGTAACTAGAGCTGCATTTCTCATTGTAATAGTATATATTGAGGCTGAACAAAATGTGCTAAAGCAGATTCAAAAAAGGCCATGGTTCAGCTTGATTGACTGCTGAAAGCACTTCTCATTCAGTGGGCAGATCAAGCATACATGGTAAGGAAGTTTAGTTCAGACTACAAAAGTATTCTGATTGCTTGAGTGAATCTTAATGGATGTCTTCTTGGGCTGGGTAATGGGTGCTTAAGTTCTTGCAGTAAATGACATGTATAATCCATTATGATGTGCATTACATTGGAAATTGTTTCATGGTGTTGGAAGGAATATGGCCAGCTGCAAAGCTGCTGTATTTCAATGAAGATTGACGCTAACCAGAGGTCTCAAATATTGGCATTTTTCATTTTTTCAGAGTGGGCAAATAAGCTCTATGACCCAAACTAAGGAAAAGTTGAACTAATCAGAAGTCTCAAATATTGGCATTTTTTTCAGAGTGGGCAAATAAGCTCTATGACCCAAACTAAGGAAAAGTTGAAATGGCAAGGAGTTGCAGAAATTAATATAGCTTTTCATAGGACAAGTGCAATGACTGTGGCAAAACAAAGCGTGTGTCTATATGGATATGAAAAAGCCTCAGTCTCTGGGCTTATTTCAGCTTTTGTTGAGCTGCCCTTTTAAATCAAACTGAAGAGAAAGCTCTGGGAGGACCATAGTACTTACCCATTTTTTTCTGAATTGCTGCAGTTTGGACAAAGCTCTGCATTCAGCTGGCTTCGACTCTGGATTTATAATTTTAGGAACTAATCTGACTAATCCATTGAATATGCTGCTACCTGTTCTTCAAACAGTAAGTAAAAAAAAAACAAACCCAATTGTAGAGAGGTTGGTAATTAGTGATAGAACAAAAGGGAATGGCTTCAAGCTCCAACAGGGTAGGTTTAGACTGAGCATTAAGAAAGAGTTTCTCAGAGAAAGAGCAGTCAGGCATTGGAATGGGCTGCCCGGGGAGGGGGTTGAATTGCCATCCTTGGATGTGTTGAAGAGTCATTTAGATGTGGTGTTGGGGATATGGTGTAGGGGAGAACTTTGTAGAGGAGGGCTGGTGGTTGGACTCGATGATCCCAAGGGTCTTTTCCAACCTAAATGATTCTATGTGTAAGGATGTTTCTTTCTCTTTTGGCAAGCTGTCAAAAGGGAAACTATAATTTTCCCCAAGTAATTCATTAAACCAAAATTGTCTAGATGTGCATTCTGTAAAAGCAAGGCAACTTCCTTGTTAACTTTGTAGTTACTGGAGTCTGGTATGAAAGTCTCAGGTGGATGGAAGCCAGTTGCTGGAGGAATGTGGTGCTTGGAAGTGACTTTACTCTGAGAACACAGTGGCAATGAATAACACTGTCACTTGTAATTGTCATGCACAGAATGAAGGCAACTTTCTCCCATGCCCAATATACATTCTAGTTGTTTATGTACTTGATAGTTAACCCTCCTTAAGTGAATTCTCTTTTTTAGTTTTTAATGTTTATTGCACCTTGAAAAATGCTACCCTGTGCAGTTCTGTCTGTTACAGTAATGCATTAGTCTGAACCAAACCCTACATAAGAACAAATGTCTTAACTTCAGTAGGCTGGAAGAAAACAAGGCTGCATATGAATTTGGCAATCAGTCATGGCCAAGCTAAGAAAAAGCAAAGCCTTAATGTAAGGTAGTGCTTTCCACTCCCCTAGCTGAGGTCTTTCCCTGTTCTTGGTACAGTGGGTTGGCACAATGCATTGCTTCCCCACGCTTCGAAAACTGTTGGACACCTAAGCTTGCAGTTAACAGAAAAATAATGTTCAGCAGCAGTATTATCTCAAGCTGTTAATAATGCAAATATAAAAATCAATTCTGTATACAAATATGTTCAGAAATACTCACAAGTGGAATGCCTATATAGTCCTAAAATGATTGTTGCCACTCTGGATTTTTTTTTTTAAATGTGCTCTCATAAAGGAATTAAATATTTCTTGGCCTACAAATGTATAACACTTCAAAATTAAGGCAAGCTTTAAATTAAAAAAACGCTCAGTTGCTTTCCCAAACTAATTGTATATGCATTTTTAGCAGCAAGCTGTATTAGTTGTATTTAGAACCAGCTATGTTAAACCTTTAAGTGGAAGGACTTTTACTACCTCAGATGTTCCAAGTGGAAACTCCTTATTGAGCTTTAAGTGGGGGAAGAGCTTGTTTCCTAATTTGAATGTTATCTTGCCTTTTTAACTGGTTGTGTTCTTGTTTTAGGTTTTTCCACTTGATTATGTTCTTATTACAACTATTGTTATGTACTTTATCTTCACTTCAATGGCGGGGATTCGAAATATGGGTATATGGTTCTTCTGGATAAGGGTAAATATGACTTAAAAGTTTAGCTTATAATACTCAGTAAGATGCTTAACAAATCTGTGATATTCAGTATATTTAATAAATAGTCATTATTTATTTACTGCTTCATAGATACTGGATGTTGCAAATAGCATTGTCTGTATGTCTGAGTGTTAGAAGCCTGTTGTACCATTTTCACTGCTTCTGAAAGGTGTTCTGTTTTGCTAAGTTACCAGACCAAAACTAATGTTTTACTTCAAATACTACAGTGGGCTGACTTGTGTTTGATCAGTGGCACTTTGGCTTCTGGCTTCTCTAAGTGAAAGCCATTTGATTCTGATATGGTAGAAGTATTAGTGAATTTTATAGTCAAAATCTGAAATGTGCATGCAGTCAGTAGTGCTTCACTTGTCTTTTGGGTGGCAAGCAGGTTTATTTAGGTTGATAAAGAGATAAAAAAGTACAGTGATGATATGGCATATCTAAATGATGCAAATAATACATTATTTGCATTTGAAAAAGCAGCTTTGTATCCGGCAGTATGTCATTCATGTCTGTGATGCTGGGTTAAATATTTCCCTGCTTCTGTGACTCCTTTCCCTTTAATACTTCACCTTTTCATGTGGTGACACCCCAGAGTTGTCAGTAGTGACCCTGAGTCCTTGCAGTGAGTTGTGACATTGGAAGATCAAAAAAACAGCCATTTACTCCTCACTGCCAGCTTCTTTACCCTAACATGGGATTTCAGAATAGAGTGGTATCTCTGGTAATGACGAGACATTATATAGCTCCCTGCAGAGTGAAGTGGAAACAAATGCCATCATGTGGTGTGCAAGTTCTCTCAGAGCCTGGGGGTACTCTCTCCTGACTCCCTCCTCTGTTTCTGGATCTGAGGTGTAGTGATAGATACCACCTCACCTTGACCAAAAGACACAGTATTCTCTGACAAACTAAGGCACAGTTTGCTATCAGCAATAGCAAACATCATTTAAATCATGCTGCTAACTGCAGGTTTATGAATGTTGTAGGTCATTAATACAAACAACAATTAATTTGGTTGAATAGCTGTGCTTTGAAATTCAGGTAAATACACCTGAGAACCTGCTTTGACTCATTGGAATCAGGTTGCCAGAGGATAGCAGCTTCCCACTTCTGTCAGGAGAATTAAAGCTATTACTTGAATGAAATGTCTTCACAAAAAAAATAAATTTCAATATGCTAATATTTGTATGTTTTCTGGTTTTAGCTTTATAAAATCAGGCGGGGAAAAACTCAACCTCAAGCACTCCTGTTTCTCTGCATGATACTCCTGTTGATAGTTCTTCATACCAGTTACATGATCTACAGTCTTGCCCCCCAGTATGTAATGTATGGAAGCCAAAAATACCTGGTACAGGTGAGATATAATACTTCTTTTTAAAAAAAATAATCTTACTGTAAATGGTATAATTGTCCCCGTATAATTGTACGATGCGTAGTAATGTTGTGAAAGAAGCCCTCTGAGGAGTGTCAGCTCTGGTGACAGCTAGCTGAAATACCTTCTGGAGCTGGACCATTGCTACATGTACACTGAATAGTTGAAATTTCATGTCCTCCATGAAATTTCACTATCATCTGGCCTCTAGACCATAAGTGCATTTGGTATCATTATGCAGGCATGACACTTCTATGGTGTCTTCATCCCGAAGTTGAATTCCAGATTCATTTTATGCACAAATGTTTAATTTCAGATATGGAGGGGTTTTTTTAATCTTCAAAAAGAACACAAGCTATTTTTTCTAAATGAAAGCATATTTAGAAATGTTCATGTTGTACCACTTACAGCTTACGCTGCATATACCATTCAAAAATAACCCTAAGCTTTTTGAATATTGTAAGAGATTTGTCAGAGCCTTTTTTATAAAATTAATAATTTATTACAAGATGTGTTTTGTTTCAGGCACTATCATTGTGTATGGAAGAATGTTGCTGGTAGACTAGTATACTAATTTTCTGTATTTGTAACACAGAGTAATAAGACAATTGATGGCCAGCCAAGTAATGTGACGACGTTTGTATCTAAAGACTGTGATGCAGATGCCCCTGAAGGTAAGATAAATTAATTTCTTGTATTTCCTGTGTTATATGTGCATGCTTAACTGTAATAAACAGCTCAGTCTTTCCATGACTTTGATTTGCTTTGATATAATGTGAAACTTTGATACGTAGCTATGTCCAGAAAGCAGCTTGCTTATTTAATTCATTTGAAGAAATAGCTATTTCTAGTAGAAATCATGTGTAGTAGTACATTTCAGTTAACTTCAAAATCTCCCATTTGCTTTAGCACGAACGAAGAAGACCTTAAATACAAACCCTAGCTGGTGAATAGTTTAGCATCTGATGTGTCGCTTCAGTGTTTGTGTTTATCGCACAAACATGCAAAGACATATTTTACTAAATTTCATGATGTAATCAAGAAAACTAAGATCTGAACTTCTCAGTGCAACTTTACTGGTTAGAGTTCTGCAATTCTGCAACAATACCAATGGGACTTGATATCTTAGGCTATTTTCCTGAGATCCTCTTAATTTGTCATTCCCTGTACCTCCCTTACGAGGAAAGGCTCAAAGAGCTACACGAACCTTAAATACAAACCCTAGCTGGTGAATAGTTTAGCGTCTGATGTGTCGCTTCAGTGTATGTGTTTATCGCACAAACATGCAAAGACATATTTTACTAAATTTCATGATGTAATCAAGAAAACTAAGATCTGAACTTCTCAGTGCAACTTTACTGGTTAGAGTTCTGCAATTCTGCAACAATACCAATGGGACTTGATATCTTAGGCTATTTTCCTGAGATCCTCTTAATTTGTCATTCCCTGTACCTCCCTTACGAGGAAAGGCTCAAAGAGCTGGGGCTCTTTAGCCTGGAGAAGAGAAGGCTGAGGGGAGACCTTATGTATCTTTACAAGTGCCTAAAGGGTGGGTTGAAGGAGGATGGAGCCAGCCTCTTCTCAGTGGTTCCCAGTGACAGGACGAGGGGCAACGGGCACAAGCTGGACCATGGGAAGTTCCACTCCAATGTGAGGAAGAACTTCTTTGGGGTGAGGATGGCAGAGCCCTGGCAGAGGCTGCCCAGGGAGGGTGTGGAGTCCCCTTCTCTGGAGATCTTCAAGCCCTGCCTGGATGCTCCTGAGTGATGTGCTCTGGGCAACCCTGCATTGTCAGGGGAGTTGGACTGGATGATCTCTAGAAGGTCCCTTCCAACTCTGAACAAAAAAATCCAGTATAACTGTTGGTTGTCTGTGTTACTGACCATCCCTTTTTGACCAGTTATTTTGTCAGAAGATGTATTGTGGCTATTCTGGAGCTATGAGTAGTGACTAAAAGGATGGATAATTGTGGAGCTCTCATTTGGCTTTCCATCTCTGCAGGCTTTAATGTTGATTAGCTTGTTTTTTTGAGAGAATGTAACATGTTTTCAAGAGAATGTAACACTTCATTCCTCTGTGAAACTTGACTAAAGCTAGGGATGAGTTTTAGCCTGGTTTCATTAAACAAAAACAAATAAGCTAATTGAAATCATACTGGATTTCTTTTTTAGTGCTGTCTTTCCCCTTCCTTTCCCTCTGAATATAAACAATTTTTGCACAGTTTGAATTGCACCAGGCACTGCAATGCTGAGACTGCTATTTAAGGTCACCATTAACTTTATTGATTGCTTTGGTCTCTTGTTTAAAAAATTGATCTCAGCAAAGGATTTATGGCCTTCAGAGTGGTCTAGACTTTTTCAGGCTGAAGCTTTCAATTGTTCTCACTCTAGCAAACCTGCAGCTTCTCTGTAGAAAGAGGAGTTGAATTATGTATGCATTTATATACTTACAAAAAGGCTTGACAGCATTTTTAATTGATAAAAAAAGATAAGTTGTCCTCTGTTCTCATCTTATCAGTGTTCTGTAACTGAATTCTGACTGCTTCTACAAGATGTTAGCAGCTCCTCAAGTTTTCTTCCTACTTCTGTTATTGGGAAAAATAATTTTAAACAATTATTGGACTAGTGAAGATAATTGGACCGTTAGTTCTTCGTTTCCAGTCTCTCAAGCTATGGTTTCTTTTGCAAGGTTACTGGAGTTGTTTAATGTAAATATTCATAGTGTGTGATTATCATCAAGAGGTTGTATGGCTGCTGCAGTAGTTGATGTACAGCAAATAGCTATTGGTTATCCAGATTTGTAACTTCCTTTACGAAATCAGATCAGACTATTTGTTATAAAACCAGATTGATTTGTGTTGATTACCTCCTTTTCTGGCTGTCTACGTTTATATTGGATTGGGTTTGATTTGCAGAAATGCAATATGAAATGTCCTCCCTGGACAGCCTGTCCCAGGGTTCTTCCACCCTCAAAGCAAAGAAGTTCCTCCTCATATTTAGGTGGAACTTGTTATATTCAAGTTTGTGCCCATTTCCTCTTGTCCTGTCCCTGGGCAACCATGAGAAAAGACCAGCCCCATCCTCCTGACACCCACCCTTCAAGTATTTATAGGTGTTGATCAGATCCCCCCTCAGCCTTCTCTTCTCCAGACTAAAAAGCCCCAAGTCCCTCAGCCTCTCCTCGTAAGACAGATGCTCCAGGCCCCTCAGCATCTTTGTAGCCTCTGCTGTCCCCTCTCAGCAGTTGCCTGTCCTTCTTGAGCAGAAAAGAAATAATCTGTTTTTTAATACAGAATCTGCTTTGTATCTCCTGGGAAGTGAGTAACTGGGATCTGTCAGAACAGGCAAGAATTGACACATCTGGAGGAGAAATTGAGCCCAACAGTAATGGGGTCAGCTGTGTAACTCTGAGCTTGGGGGTTACCTGTTGTCACATTCAGTTTCCCATAATAACAAATACTCCCTCCCCCCGTCTACCTTATAGGCAGAGGAGAGTCAACTTGATCTAATGGAGTGTAACTTTTCTTCAGAGCTGCGTAGTCTTCAAAACTGTTGAATTTTTCTCCTATAAATTGGAATCAACTGGCTTTTACTGGTTCTGTGTTTAATTGGTATTAACTGCTTTCCTTTCAGATCAGTGCCTTGTTACTCGGACGTACCTCTTTCTTCATAAATTTTGGTTCTTCAGTGCTGCTTATTACTTTGGGAACTGGGCATTCATTGCAGTAAGTACTTTGGTTATAAAGATCACTGAAGCAAGTTGGATAATTTACAGTAGTTGTTGGATCACTTGCATCACTACACTGCCATTTTGGTTTATGTGTATATTGCTCTTGTATGCCTCTTAATTGAAGAGCACTAACTTTTACTACATATTTTACATTTGCAGGTCTTTTTAATTGGATTAATTGTTTCATGCTGCAAAGGCAAGAAATCTGTCATTGAAGGTGAAGTGGATGAAGATGATTCAGACATTAGTGATGATGAACTGTCTGTTTATTACCGTTGATAGCTTTTTGCCTTCAGGATGGGAAAGTGTAATTAAAGTTATTTTGAAAGTCGTACCCACGTGGAATTGGTATCCAAATAAGCATCCTTGCACCTGTAAAAATAAGTAATAAGTGTACTCGCTTAAAGGGGTAAAAAAATAAATGAGTATCACTTCTTGAGTATCACTTATGTCAGAAGAAATATTGAAGCTGACTTTGAATAATATATAGAAAACACTGTTTTATGATTAAGTGTATATGTAACTGTTATATAATTTGAACTGTTGTAACTATTTCATAATTCATGATGCTTTTCTGTTAACTTAAGTTTTCTTAAATACTTTCATGCCTACCTTTTGGGATGTTTTTTACTCAAGCTCATAAAAAAAACTAGCTAAAATCCTGCAGAACAGCTGGTGCAAACGCTGCTGGGAAGATTTTGGTGAAGTTTACACTTTCAGAAGGATGTGACTTACCAGCAAAACTAATACAAAAGTTATTTCTGGGATTCTCATCTAAAACTATAGCTAAAAAAAGACTGTTCTTAAATTATGGGAAAAACTTCCACTGAAGTGGTGAGTTCCTAGTTTGTGAAGAATAAGTCATTTTCATACTACTCTCCCCATGGGCATCCTCAGGTAACCAGGAGGTGCTTTTGCTGGATCAGAGGAAATCATTAGTGTAAATGGCAATACTTAGCACTGTGCGGTGTTGTACAGTTCAGTTCTGAAACTGCCAGGTGCCTGACTTATCTTAATTACTTCATTGGTTGGTACTGTGATTAACTTCTAACTTATTTTTTTCTTTAATGCAAACTTGTCTAGTTTGAAGTCTTCTTTAAATATTCCATGCAAATGTTGTCAACTTGTTTACAAGCCAGTATGTTTATATAAACACACTTCATAAATATTTGTCACCCCTGTGGTCTTTGTAAAGTCATGTTATTTTAGCTATATACTTACTGAGCTGTATTTCTAAGGCTGAAAAATACCTTCAAATATCATTTGACAGACTCTGAAAGAGAAAATGTTTACAAGTACAGGTTTTTAAACTTCTAATGCTACCTGAGGGAAATTATAGTCCATGCAAGTACATGGAAAAGTAGCTTAGGTAATCTTTTTATAAGACTAATTGTTAAATTGTTGTTAAGATATAGGGGAATTATTAATCTAAGGTCCTGCTCACATGGTTGCAAACTATTTAAGCTGACAGGTTTCTGTTATTTCAAAAGCAGTGTGCCTCTTCCTGTGTTATTTCAGAAAAGCAGGCTCTCAGGAATGTCTGAATTATAATTTAGTTTTAGTAGGGCTACAAAGAGGATGAGGGGCCCAGAGCATCTCTCTTATGAGGAGAGGCTGAGGGACTTGGGGCTTTTTAGACTGGAGAAGAGAAGGCTGAGGGGGAATCTGATCAACACCTATAAATACTAACAGGGTGGGTGTCAGGAGGATGGGGCTGGTCTTTTCTCAGTTTTGCCCAGGGACAGGACAAGAGGAAATGGGCACAAACTTGAATATAACAAGTTCCACGTAAATATGAGGAGGAACTTCTTTCCTGCGAGGGTGGCAGAGCCCTGGCAGAGGCTGCCCAGGGAGGTGGTGGAGTCTCCTTCTCTGGAGACATTCAACCCCACCTGGACACGTTCCTGTGGGACCTGCTCTGGGTGGCCCTGCTCTGGCAGGGGGTTGGACTGGATGATCTCCAGAGGCCCCTTCCAGCCCCGTGTGATTCTCCAACTCATTATTTCAAGAAGTCTTAGGTGAGTTGCTTAGTTAATGCACACAGGGAACTGATGTTTGGACTCCTCCAGGAACAAGCAAATTCTGCTTCTAAATGAAGATATTTTCCAATTGTGGGTAGTTAAATGAATCAGAAATTCTGGTGTCCTTGACCAACCTCAGTGAGGTGTGGTTGTTACAGAAATTACCTGGAAGTTGGACTAATTTTAACATCGTCCTATTCAGAGAGATTGCATGTACAGAGAGATTGAAGTGCATACACTTAAATCCATTTTATAGCTATAGAGAAGATTATTTCCTTTAAATAAACAGACAGTTTAAGCACATTTAACAAAGCCATATTTATAGCTTTCTTCCAGATTCACCTCTAGGCAAAGTGATATATTTAGAGGGTCAGACAGAAAAATTTTGGTTTCTGGAGCACTGATTTTAGAGGTAAGCCATGCAGATCTGGTAAACTTCCTGATACTCCTGTGTTCACCACCCAGAAGGGCGTGTGGGGTTGATCAAGATCAAGTTTTAATTTTGCTTGTTATAAATGTGCCTGTTGGTTGTTTTGTTTTTTATCCAAGGGAAGATACTGGGAGTTTGCAAGTTGTCTGCAAAACATACAACTCAAATCTTCTGAGCATTTTTGAAGAACGATGTCAAAATCCTTATCATCCAAATATCTTGCCTAAAGGTAGGGACTGTGCGAACATGGGAAGCAGGTGTGAAGATGAACATGTGCATGGTGCCTACTGAAATTCCAGTCTGGATATGGGGCTTCTCACCAGAACGCATCAAACTTCCTGTGAGAAAGTAAAATATAGATTGATTCAGCAGCCCCTCAGCTTCTGCTGAGCTGCTTAAGCGTGATGTTCCTGTGATGTGTGGAGAGTTTGGAAATTCTCCCACGTGTAGTAAGTGTATCGCTTCAACTGCGAGTGCTTTGGAGTCAGGACAGCAAGAAAGACTTATTACTGTGAACGTCTGTCTCTGATATTGCCCTCTTCCCCCACCTTGCAGCTTATCAACTTATGATGGCATTAAACACTTGAAGGAGTATCCTGGGACTGAAGTGTTTAATTCTGACACTTAATGTATAACTTGATGGTATCACTTATGCCCTACACTTCTTGGAGTTGTACTTGTTCTCTACACTTCTAAGTTGGGACAGTGCAAGTCTGAATTCCCATTGCCTGCTGACTTCACATCCTCTCCAAAGAGAAATGATGAAGATGCTGGTGCCAGGTGTATCTGCCTTGCATGGAATATTCCTTGGGAATAGGTCAATGGGACAACTTCTATTTATTGTAAAGAGAAGAAGGGTGGGTTTATTTTTTTCTGTTTTGATATGGATAGTCCTGAATGTAAAACAGCTTCTTGTTTGAACCTGAAAGCAAAGTTCTTATCAAGAGACATAACTTCCTAATGCATGGAGGAAAAAACCAAAATCACAATTATGAAACGTGAATGCCACAGGAATCCTCATTTTCCCAACTGTGAAGCAGGTACTTCATCTTTTTCAGAAGTTGATTTTGAAGAAATAATGATAGTTTTATTAATATCCTTAACTAGAAAAATATGCCTTTCAAGTTGTGCAAACAATGATAAGAGGATTATATTAGTGGAGGATTTTCTTAAATGAGGGGTGGAGCTCCTACTGAAAACCTTTGGGAGCTCAGATCCTAGGTGATTTAGAATATGCTGCTTTGTGCTTGAAGTATTTAGGGAAAATATAAACTAAACTCTTTCCCTTCCCAGTTCATGAAAGAATTAAAAAAAATTAAAAATCACTTGAATTCTTTTTCATTTGTATAAAAGATTGATGAAAAGTGGGGCTTCTCACTTCATGCAGACAACCAGCTGGCTGCAGTACCTGCCCAGTACTGGTAGATCATGACACTATCCTTAATTTGAGTAGAACAACCTCTTGTTTTCACACCTGGAAAAGAATCCCCATTGCTATGCTCTGAGGGAGCACTCAGGATCCCTGCTGTTGAACTTGGTGTATTGCAGACTTCTAGACATCTTTTGACATCAAAGAGGGAAAAGCAGAAGAACCAGCTTCTATAGACAGCTGCGGTGTGTCTGCAAGCCAAGAGTGTGCCTTGGAGACCTTGGAGCTATTCCAGGACTAGCTAGATTGGTCCTACAGGCTTGAAAAAATTGCTCTGCAGTGTGTCTGCAAGTCAAGAGGGATGGTGGTGTGCCTTGGGGACCTTGGAGCTATTCCAGGAGTAGCTAGATTGGTCCTACAGGCTTGAAAAAAACATGCATTGTAACAACATCAAGCTAAAAAGCCCTCATTCATCCCACATCGTACCACCTTGGCCTGCTGGACAAAAGATTTGTCATGCTGTGGAACCTGGGCTACCCATGTGATGAGTGGGGAACCACTCTTGGTGTGCAAGACTTGCTGAGCAGACAAGTGGTGCCAGCTCTACGTGGTGACAGCAGAAACCCGCATCCCACCAAAGGAACGCTGCTGCCTTTTACTGATGAAGCATGTCTACTTTTTGCTTCAGAAGAAGCTGCAGATCAGCATCCTGACAAGCTGGCCGCCTACCTACAGGAGAGCGAGGAGCTGGTTTAATGCCTTTCAACTATCTCCAGATTTGTGGTACAACTGCAGCAGTCATGTGAGGGTGGTTCTGTCTCATCCTCTCAGCTCGGTGCGAGCAGTCCCTGTTGTGACAGTCCTGCTGGACGTGTCTCCACAGCTCCCAGTACGGCTCCCGGCTCTCCTGCCAACGACGCGGCGAGAAGTACGTCATTCAGGCCTGGCAAGTCTGTGGTGGGGCTGGGCCAGGGACGTGGACAGGGGCTGGTCTTCACATACGTGAATTTCTGACTGGTGGAATGTGCTGGAAATAGAAGTGTTTCCGTGTTGGTGTTCTGTTTTAAGCTGGTGCCTGAACAAATCTTGGTAACAGCAGCTCCCAGTTGTCTGATACGATGGGGATGTTTTGAACTCAAGAGCTCGTCACAAAAATGCTGGCATATGACTCCTGATGGTTGTACTTTTAATCCTACTCCATCTGTTTCTGGAGGGCCTTACGTAGATTTGCCTACTCATCTTAAATTAAACACAGGACTTAACTCGCTGATCTCCAATGGCAATTTGTAGGCTTTATTAATTTGCCTTAATTTTTGAGCTTGTTTTTTAAAATGCTTTTTCATGCAGTCCTGTAGGCAAATAATCTCCAAGTGCTTTGGGGAATCCACTAATTTTGCTACAATAATGTAGTGTGGGAGTCACATCTAAGCGATGGGGTTGCTCAGGGGGTTCCACATCCCACTCCTCTCCAGGATAAAAGAAACTCCCCTCCTCTGGCTGTGCTCAGTGCCCTCCTGTTGCTCCCTGACATGGGTGTGTTGTTTGGGCTCTTCCCAAAGCTGTTCTCAGGGATTCTTTTTCAAACCCTCATCTCTCTAACTGTGCAGATTATGCTGCTGCTTGGCAGATGTACTTTATTTCCCTTACGTTTTATCGCAGCTTGTACAGCATCATTATCTTTTTTGAAATATGCCAGCACTCCCGGGCCTGGAATGCTCCTGTGTGAGCGATTGCAGTGATAAAACTTTACATATTAGACTTGACTATTAAATTACATGCTGGATGAGAGCTGTTCTCCATCCCGTAATGGATTCGGCTAGCTGCTCTTGTTCCTCCTGTTCTGAAGAGGATCCTGCTTTGTAGTGTCCTGCAGTGGCTGTCATCAATATGAAGAAGAAGAAAAAAAAATATATCTGCTGTGCTCTGGGGAGGAGTTTGGCAGAGTTGCCCAGCCCCAGCAAGCCATGTCCAGTTTTTAACTATCCTTAATTGTTTGTTCGCAGTTGTGTTAGTCTCAGGAGCTAGTAATGAGTCAGATTGTTTGCATTTTATTTGTTCATAGAATAGTTTGGGCTGGAAGGAACCTTTAAAGGTTATCTAGTCCAACTCCCCTGCAATGAGTTGGGATGTCTCTGCTAAGGCCATCAAGGACTTAGTACATTATTATTATTGTGTCAGTCTGCGCTGAAAGGGTTACGTGGCTGACTGGTGGCTGGAAGGTGTGACCCACAGTAGTAAATGAAATGGTGAAATGTAGCTTTGAATAGGCTACAGAACTGTGGAACAGAATAAGAGGCTACTTCACAAAGGTACTTCAAGCTGCATTGAGCCTGCTGAAGTTTATCCTGACATAAAACATCCCTCCCTGTGTCTG